ATTCTGAAAAACAGGGCGCACAGAGGGTTTGGGAGGCCTGCAGAGTGCTCCTGGGGGTTGGGGGAGGGCAAAAAATTTTTTTCTTCTTACTTACCTCTTTGAAATCTTGGTGCATCTTATAGTCCGAAAAATACGGTACCTCTTGTGACCCTTCTGACAAGCAAAGTCAACGAGGAAGCCCGATTCGCTTGACAACGGTGCTACTAACTTAACAACTGCAGTGATTCACTTAACCACTGTGGCAAGAAAGGTCGTAAAACGGGCCAAAACTCACTTAACTGCCTCGCTTAGCAACAGAAGTGTTGGGCTCAACTGTGGTCGTTAAGTCGAGTACTGTCTGTACTGCATGCTCTCCTACTAGGAAAGTCCTAGCAGGCTGCGATGCTCTCTCCCCCTCCCTGCCACCCTCTCCCTCCAGCTCCTGGGAGAATTTAGGTGTTGAAAATTCAGACAGCGATTACCTAGTGCTGGACTTTTTATTATTTTCTTTGATGGCTAGCAAACTCTTCTTTTTCATTCCTGACAGTTCCATTTTCCCCTTCCGAGTCCCAAAGCAGCTCTGCGGGGGGCCTCACTTATCTGAAAGCTTACGTCTAACGGATCCCTAAGCGAGTGCAAGAAGCTCCAGAGAGCAGCCTAGTGACAAGAGAAAAGCATTGAGAGACAATTAACATATAGGCAGAAGGGGAGGGGGAAAAAAAATCCTACTTGATAAGAACGGCAGACGATACTAAGCAAATATTCATGCAAAGCACGGTAGTCCCCGAAGCACTGGGTGAACGTAACAGCAAATTACTGAAAATGGCACCTGCTGAACAATTTAAATCAGTGTTCCCAATCCTGAGCAACTTTAATTTGTGCGGACTGGAGAATTCTGGGAGCTGGTTGGCTGGAGAATTCTGGGAGCTGAAAGTCCACAAACACTGATCTATATTGTGCATTTTACAAGATACTGTATTTGAATATCTTCTAAGAACCTCTAATACTAAACAAGGAAAGAACGCAGGTTTTTCGCCACTATCGTAAACAGGTTTTTCTGTTGAGATTTCCCAGAATAGTGTCCTTAAATTTGGGGAGGGCACAAAAAGGCTCCTGGAAGACTGCCTAATTTTTGGCATTCTGGCATCCCCTGGGCAACGGTGTTGTCCCCTGCAAATCCTTTCAACCCAGAAGTCTGTAGAGATTCTCAGTCCTCCAGGTCCTGGTTGTCCCAAAGGTGTTTTTTCAGGAGGCAACTGGACTTTCTTATTTTTTTTCTTTTGAAGACGTTTCGCTTCTCATCCAAGAAGCTTCTTCCGCTCTGACAGGATGGTGGGGAATGGAATATCAATGAGGAATATAAATCCTCCCCTTCCCCACCATCCAGTCAGAGCGGAAGAAGCTTCTTGGATGAGAAGCGAAACGTCTTCAAAAGAAAAAGAAAAACCAAGGAAGTCCAGTTGCCTCCTGAAAAAAGCACCTTTGGGATTTCAACCCAGAATCACCCTTTGGTTAGCTTTGCAGGAGCTTCTCACACAAGTGCAGATGGGATCTTTAAATATGACATTAAATTAAAAATTAAATATAAATAAAATTAAGCATGAATAAAATTGGGGAGGGGCCAGAGCTCCCAGATTTACAGCCCCTGCTTAAAGAGCTTGGGGTAAGTGTGATCAAAACAAGAATGATCTGTGGTTAACGGCTCCATTTTACATGTGAACCAGGCCAGGTTGTTCAACAAATCGGGGTAAAATAAACAATTCTGCACTATTTCCTAGCCGTTATAGATGCCATTACTTTTCAACAGCTTTTAATCTTCAGTATAAAGTACATAGCAGCATGCTAAAAGATATACTCTCTATACAATAGTATATTGTATAGGTGATAATTATATTTGCATATAATTCTACTTAACTATATGCAAGCATTTCCCCAGCAAACCTGATTGGGGTCACGCTTTTGGAAAGAGAAAGAACTGCTAAATTTGTACTACAAGGTTTTAGATATCGGAGCCACAACAAGCATTATGAGATTATTTGACTATTTAGATACTGAAATATGTTAGTTTGGAATGCTATAAGCCCTCGTTTCATCTGGAAGGCATACATTAAAGAGTCTGTTATGACACCCGTTGGCATATTTAATTTAATTTAATTTAATTTAATTTAATTTAATTTCCAATTTATATACCGCCCTTCTCCCTGAGGACTCGGTTTACAGCCAAGATTAAAAAAACATAGAATACAAATATTAAAACATTTAAAAATATATATAAATTTTGGCATATAAACAAACCTGCAATTTAATTATTTTTTAAGTGATGGAACAAGGTATTTTCTTATTGCGCGATTAAAAAAAACACCCAGATCACATTTATCTCACTGCTACTCTCTTTATCCTAGCTTTATTTTTCAACCCGCGTATCAAAAGCTCCACCACTATCTCGATTTCCCTCAGCTATGAAAAGAATACAAGTCCCAAAACGAAGCACCTCCCTGAGATTTTATTCTGAATAAATTATTCTTACTATCTTACCACATACCCATGTGGCCTTTTGGAAAGTTGGCGACCAGTTGGAAACTACCCAATGCAAAACTTGACTTTTATTACCCCGAGGTATCATATTATTATTATTATTATTATTATTATTATTATTATTATTATTATTATTATTGTTCACGCCGCCTTATTATGCACCCTGAAAACCACGCAGAATCCAACCGGATTGAAAGGGTGCATAATGCAATTTTAAAAAAATTGCATAGAACCTCTACCAAAAAAAGTGGAATAAATCAGATATTATTTTTTTTGCAATAGCAACAGCAAACCATGCAAAACCTTACAGGGCAGCATTTGTCTGCAAGCGGTGCAAAAAATTACTTTGGAGATCTACAATGGATCACTGGGGAACCCAGTCCCTTCCCCCCCCCCCCCCCCAAAAAGAGGGGAGCAGATCCTCCAGCCCCCCCCGCCCCCCAGGAACTTGCTTTGAGCAAGAGGCCAAAAGGGGGCGGGGCCAGCTCGGGTCTACGTCACCCACCCGCACGCCGCCCCGTCCTCCGGATTCAGAGGAAGCCTTCCCTCCCCCGCTTTCCGTCCCGGGCCTCCCGCGTTCCCGAAGCGGGCTCACGCTCCTCCACCAGGCCGACCCAGCTGAGAAGACCCTCGGCGGCTCGGCGAACCGCTTCCCGGCGCCCTCACGGCCGTCCCCGAGCCAGATGGCGACGGATTAGCGCCTCTCCGCTACTTACATCCTCAGAGATCGCCCGTTGCTCCTCCGTCGCGCTCGCGGTGACGTCGTTTGCCGCCTTCCGCAAGGGCCGGGCGCAGGCGGATGGCGTCAAGGCGGCGACAAGGGAGGGGGCGCGCTGGAATCCTTAGACGCCTCTGTCTCCAAGGTTACGGCTCCTCCTTTTGTGTTGTTGTTTTTTTTTAAAGGGCCAGACCCGCGAATTTTACTCTTGACTGGGTCGCCTTTAGGAGAACGCCAAGAAAGCTAGATTTGCAGGCATGAGTGCATGCAAAACCACGAAAACAATAAATGTGTTAGAGGTGGAGACTTTTTGAGAACTGTATGCAACGAAATTTCATTTTAATGTATGCCGACTAGTGTAGTTCAAAGTGACAATAAAGTTATTTCTAAGTTCTAAGTTGCAAAAAAAAAAAACAACCACCACCCAATACCCAATACCACCCCACTTTTTTCTTTTTTTTTTCTTTTTTTGTTAATTTATCATTTTTTAAAAATTTTGATTTATATGCTGCCCTTCTCCGGAGACTCAGGGCGGCTTACAATGCGTTAAGCAATAGCCTTCATACTTTTGTATATTTTAGACAAAGTCAGCTTATTGCCCCCACAAACCAGGTCCTCATTTTACCTACCTTAGAAAGGATGGAAGGCTGAGTGAGAATTGAACTCGCAGTAATTGCAGGCAGCTGGAAGCTAAATACTACCTTTAACAGTAGCATTAGTCTGCTGCGCCACTCAGGCTCCACTCAGCTCCCTTTTTACAAACAACCGAACATCACCCATTTGGGTTGAACCACAACTGTGATCAACTCCCATGGTTTGGAGTCATGGGAGTTGTAGTACATAGCCCTCGTCATCTTTTCAGGGAGAGGGTGGATCAAATTGGGAAACGAAAGGGTTTAGCGCCGCAGCACGTTCTAGATTTTGCAGAAGACCATGCTAGCAACACAACAGATTCCAGATGAGAGAAAACCATACCAGCATCAGAGCAGATTCCAGATGTGGCAGATCATATGGTACTGGCACCACAGCATGTTCCAGATGAACCCAGCTGGCTTCATCATGCCTAAAGCAGGACTAGAACTCACGATCACCTGGTTTCTAGCCTGGTGCTTTAACCACTACCCCAAAATGGCTCTTATTCACATATGATTGTTACAGTGAAGTAACAGTAACAGAGCTGGAAGGGACCTTGGAGGTCATCTAGTCCAACCCCCTGTTCACACAGGAGACCTGTACTAGGGATTTGAACCGCCGAACCGCCGAACCGCCGATCTTTCTGATCGACAAGCTCAGTGTCTTAGCCACTTGAGCCACCTACTACTTTGTGATGAAGCATGTTGTGTGAACCCCTCCCCTTTGTTTACTGGTCATAAGTCACTTTTTTCAGTGCCATAGTAACCTTGAATGGTGGCTAAACAAATGATGGTTAAGTCAAGTACTACCTGTAGTGCAGGATGAACATTATCTCTTCCTTAAAAGAGTCAGACACACATACGGGCTTCTAGTTGACAGCTGCCTAGTGCTGAAGGTCTCACTTGCTTAGCATAACTAGGATAGTAAAGCTAAGGTATTTCCCCCATTTGTATAGGATCCCTGCTTTAACTGTGATAGTTGAAGGCCAAGCCATCCATCTCCAACGAAAGTTGAAAAAGAGAGAAAAAGCGAGAGGGGGAAATACTTATTATAAGGCTCTAAACTTATTGTCAGAAAAAGAAACTTCCGTTCTCTTGATAGGTCTCATCACTGAAAAATCAATCAGCAAGCTGCATTTGGACTCCCAACTTTTTATTTTATTTATTTTTCTGTCCATTCGTAATGCCACCCAGTCAATTTTGATTCCCTGTGGCTCACAACAGAATAAACAGAATAAAATACAATCAAGCATAAACAAGATAAATACCGGTAAATTTCCAGCCTAAGGACAGCAAAAACAAACATTATAAGATCATCATAATGATCAGAGGACAAAAAAAAGAACAAATAAGCAATGAAACATTTATGTCACAACTTCCAGAATGACAGAAGTGAAAAAAACAAGAAAACAGTATGATTTTTTAAAAATGGAAAAAATGTAGGATGGTGATAGGGCTCAAACTGCCCGAGCTGAGACCATCTCTAGCGTCATTAACTCACTGAGCCAATGCCCCTCTGCTGTCAAGGCCGTCTTTTTTATTTCTGCATCAGGGGTCTCCAAATCTTACAACTTGGCAAACCTGGCAACAAACCCCCATCATCCTGCCTGAGGAACTCTGGGAGTTGAAATCCACAAGTCTTCACGTTGCCGAGTTTGGAGACCCCTGTTCTACAATAATATTGTATATGGATGGGATGAGCGAAAAATATTGTACATGGATGGGAAATTTAATTAGCAATTGCTGCAATGCCAGGGGATCAGCAGAGGGCAGTAGCTGATTAAAAGTCGATCCCAAAAAAATTGCAGCTTTTACAAGGCCTGTTAAATCAAGTGTGCCTGAAAGCAAATGTCACACCTACCCGTTTGACTAAGTCTCATTACCGAACTAAGTAACATCATCAATACTACAAGGGCGAACTCTACTCCCTTCTAACACTGATGGTGTTATCTAGCTGGGTAATGAAACAGCTGCAAGTTCAGGGAACATTAAGGACCCCCTATTCACATCTGCAGAGGCGTGAGAAGCTGGCTCTGGGACAGCACATACTGAATTTGGGCTTTTCCCCATGGAAGATTGCCTTCACGATTTATACCATCTTCTCTTTGTGTCATTGCTTTGGGTTTTAATTTTTGCTGTGGTCTTCTTGCGGCGAGCAAGAAATTCAAGGCTGCAGAGTTGATATAGCTACGCGATCAAGGTGAAAGCTACAAACAACAGTTTATTATACAAATTCCTGAGTTTACTTCTGGGGAAAGTGGAATGTTTAGAGAAGGGTGAGCTCTTTTTTATTTTTATTTCTTTTCCTTTGGCTTACGTATGGACGTCTGTTGTTTAGAAAATGGGAGGTGAGCATAGGAGTCCAGTTACCTCCTTGCCCACAGCTTAAAGTGTCAACTGAACCGACGGCTTTGTGAAAATGTTTGCTTTCAATTGATCTTTCCTGTTTCCTGAACTAGGAAATGAATCTGACTTTCTCTGCCTGGAAAGCAGGCACCTTCCCCTCAGAGAGGTCCCCTTTTCACAAAAAACATTTGAGGCATTCATTGTCAATAGCAACACACATCACCACTAAGACAGTCCATTCCTTAGGGGGAGCAAAGTCACTTTAGATCCAATTGACGATCCATGTAGGTGAGGTAACTCGAGGAGATCTCCGTCCACCCCACTCCTTTCCTCTCTGAGAAAATAATTCTGAATTTATTAGAATGGAATCCAAGGCTTTCTGCCTCTAAAGGAAATGTTTTGCTTCTCTGTTTTTTTCTCTCTCTCTCTCTTTTCTTTTTTCCGTCTCTCTCTTTCTCGCTTTTCTTTTTTTCTTTCTCTTTCTCTTTCTCTCTCTCTCTCTCTCTCTCTCCCTTTCTCTTTCTCTGATTGTGATGAGCAAAACACTTTACCTCCACTGACAAATTAGGGGGAGGAAATAATCACTTTGGATAGACATTTCTTTATTTTTACGGTGGGTGGGGAAAATATCATGGCACCCCCACCAATTTTTTCACCCAACCTGGCAGTGAGAGATGCTTGTAGAAACAAAGAGGTAGGTTTTCTCACACAGAGAAAAATATCATCCTCAAAATAAATACTCCAGGAATTTGATCGGTTTACACTGTGGTCAGTTGGCTGGAACGTTCTTCTGAGATTTACCTCTTCATTACGGTAGATCCCAAAATAGCATTTTTTTTTATGGAGGCACTTCCTGGTAGAATCAGATGTTTGAAATAATCTCGCAGCGATCGTTCAGTTCAATGTTGTTGTAATTCTGCGGTCTGAAAAACCCAGAAGGAAATAGGTTAGGAGAGTAGCCCGGCTTTTATTTGCTTAATGAGGTGGGGAGAGGATTGAAGCAGGCTGCTTCTGCTCTGCTTATCATAACAGAAAGCACAGAGATAGAATCATAGAATAACAGAGTTGGAAGGGACCTTGGAGGTCTTCTAATCCAACCCCCTGCTTAGGCAGGAAACCCTACACCACATCAGCCAAATGGTTATCCAACATCTTCTTAAAAACTTCCAGTGTTGGAGCATTCACAACTTCTGGAGGCAAGTTGTTCACTTATTAATTGTTCTCCCTGTCAGGAAATTTCTCTTTAGTTCTAAGTTGCTTCTCCTTGATTAGTTTCCACCCATTGCTTCTTGTCCTGCCCTCAGGTGCTTTGGAGAAGAGCTTGACTCCCTCTTCTTTATGGCAGAACCTCAAATATTGGAACACTGCTATCATGTCACCCCTAGTCCTTCTTTTCATGGCAATAGCAATAGCACTTAGACTTATATACCACCCAAAAGCATGTTACAGAACTCTTTGAGTGGTTTACAAAGTCAGCATCTTGCCGCCAATAATCTGGGTCTTCATTTTACCAACCTGGGAAGGGTGGAAGGCTGAATCAACTTTGAGCTGGTCAAAATCGAACTGCTGGCAATGGGTAGAGTTTGCCTGCAATACTGCCTTCTAATCATTATGCCACCCGGGGTCCTAACCAGAGATGATTAAGAAGTCTAAACATAGATCAGTCTTTAAGTTTAAGATTGTCTGGACTTCAATTCCCAGAATCCCCCAGGGGATTGATGAGAACATACAGTACCTTAAAGTTGCCAAGGTTAAAAAAAACACTCTCTTAGAACATGTCAAAACATCCATACAGGTAGTCCTCAACTTATAACCATTCATTTAGTGACTGTCCAAAGTTACAATGGGATTGAAAAAAAATGACTGATGACCAGTTTTCACACACATGTCCATTGCAGCATCCCTATAATCATATGATCAAAATTTGGGCGCTTGGTAACTGGCACGTATTTATGACCTATGCACTGTCCCGGGTTCAAGTGATCACTATTTGTAACCTTCCCAGCCAGCTTCCAACAAGAAAAGTCAATGGGGGAAGCCAGATCTCTTCAACGACCGCACGGTTCACTTAATAACTGCAGTGATTTGCTTAACAGCTGTGTCGAAAAAGGTCGTAAAATGGCCAAACTCGTTTAACAATTGCCTTGCTTAGCAATGGAAATTTTGACTCCGTTGTGATTTTAAGTCAAGGACTACCTGTATAGACTCCAGGGGCATAATGGGAACTGATCTCTGCGTTCTGCTTTTTAATGCATGAAGTCACCAACTGTCCTCAGTCCTCAGTAATACAGTTAAGGAAGCTGAGCACATTTTAGTTCAAAGCAAGCAGGGACATGTTGAAATCTGAAATCTGCCTTTTAAGAATGCAAAAAACACACACAAAAAATATGTGGTTAATCAATGGCTTAACTTATATGTGGCCAGGTTATGCAACAAATCATAGTAAAATAAACAATTCTATGTTCTAGCCGCTATGGATGCCATTTTTTTCTACAGCTTTTAATCTGCAGTATTAAACACATAGCAGCATGCTACAAAGATATGCTCTCTACACAATAGCATGTTGTATAGGTGATAATTATATTTGCATATATTTCTTCTTAGAAATATGCAAGCATTTCCCCATCAAACCTGATTGAGGTCATGCTTTTGGAAGGAGGAAGAACTGTTAATGCATATTTTAATGTATGTACTATAATTTTTTAGATATTGGGGTCACAACAGGCAAAAACACACCAAAAAAGTCAGTGAAAGCATCAAGGAAGTTGGAACTCTGGCGAAAAACATCGGAAATGTGGCAAAATAAGTAAATAAATACAGATAATTCTGAACTTGCAACCATTTGTTTAACAGCCATTTCAAAGTTAGAACAGCACTGGAGGGGAAACTGAATTACGAATAACCCCTAATCATATTAAAGCATCTCCGCAGTCACATGCTCTTACCAAAGCTTCCCCATTGGTCACAAAAGGTGATCACATGACCCTAGGACACTGCAACTAACATAAATACCGTATTTTTCGGACTATAAGACATACTTTTTTGTCTCCCAAAAGGGGGCAAAAATGTCTGTGCGTCTTATAGACCAGGGGTCTCCAACCTTGGCAACTTTAAGACTTGTGGACTGAGGTCCACAAGTCTTAAAGTTGCCAAGGTTGGAGACCCCTGTTATAGACTGAATATTGCCGAAATCCCGCCCACCAGCCAGCCATTTTTTACCCTCCGAATGCCATTTTCAAGGCTTTTTTGGCCTATTTGGGGGGCTTTTTTGACCTTTTTGAGGGGCCTTTTTTGAGGCTTTTTGGGGCCATTTTTGAGGCTTCTTCCAGCCCATTGTTTACAAATAAAATGGGCCAAAAAAAGTCCCCAAAACGGGGCCAAAAAAATCTCAAACATTGGCCGAAGAAAGCCCTGGAAACAGGCCAAAAAAAGACTGGAAAAAAGCCCAAAAAAACGCCCCAAAAAAGGGAGGCCAAAAACTTTTGTTTGTTTGTTTGTTTTCCTCTTCTAAATTTAGGTCCATCTTATAGTCAGGTGCCTCTTATAGTCCAAAAATACGGTACATGCAACTTGTTAAGCATCTGAATTTTGATCACATGATCATAGGGAGGCAACGGTTTTAAGTGTGAAAAACGGTCATAAATCACTTTTTCAGTGCCGTTATACCTTCCAACAGTCATTAAAGGAATGGTTGTACATCAAGGAATACCTGTATTGCCCATCCCATTAAGTGGGTACCAGATTGGACAAAGATGCCCACACAGCATGATGGAGTTAGGTTCATACTGGATCGATGTTGTTAGGTTCATCTTTTGGTTCCTAGATTTGGCTTCAGCACAAATCCCGAAAGCAGCTTTTTTTTTTTTTACCTTCTTATACAATAGACAGTTCCACCGGTTAACAGCAGTATGAGCAAAACGGAACCCAAGACCAAAAAAGCAATTTCCCAGGCTTGAAGTGAAGCTGTGGGAAAAGAGGAAAAATTATTATTATTATTTCCTAAAATTATTTGTACCCAGACAACGCACTGTTTATTTAGCAATGGAATTTTTATATGCAATTTAAAAAAAGAGAAAAAAGGTATTATTAATATAAGGGCTAAGTTCATCCAGATTTTCTTTTAATGGTTTATGGAATCCATGTCAACTGTCTGACTAGTGCGCCCAAAACAAGAAAATACTTTCAGGAGCTTTGAATCCCCCCAAGTAAAACTGACAATCAGTCATAACACCGAAGTTCCCAAAAAATTAAAAATCAGAACGTTTTGGGGTATAATACGTACTGAGCTTTTCAGAATATTGCTTGGTGTGACTACCTCATTTCTGAATGAATAGTTTTGGTACAGAATAAAATGCCATGTATTTTAACAGTCACGAGGAGGTTTCTAAATCTAGCTTATCTAAATCACATGACAGTTTATTTTCAATTCGGAGTATCGCAAAAAAAAAAAAAAAAAAAAGACCATGATTTGATCCTCAGGGTTTTCTCTATAAAATTTTACACTGAAAAAAAATCCATAAAAATAAATGATTAATTAGGATTGCAGCTACCAAATCTTTGGTCACTACCAGAGGTGGTATTCAGCCGGTTCAGACCGGTTTGGGTAAACCGGTAGTGGTGACCTGTGGGTGGCCCGCCCCCCCCCCCCCACCCACCCACCTGAGTGCAATCCCGTTGTCAACTTGCGAAGCCTTCAAGTTGCCATGAGCAAGAGAGAGGGAGAACTGATGGAGCTGATTGATTTCCCTAATTGAAACTACATTCCACAGATGCTTTCTTACCGCAATCAGTAGGAGAGTGTTGGGTTTCACAGCCAGCCAAAGTGGTTAATTGGAGAATGTGATTTATGACATGGCCAAGGAGGAGGGGAGAGACAGGGTCATAGGGGAACGTAAATCTGTGTGGGATTAGTTCTAACTGCATCCAAATATTGCCGAAATGGTGCTCCTAATAAATGACTGTATTTCTTTTGAAGTTTGGTTCGTGGCTCATGAATTCATTAGGGCATCTTTCAGAAACTTCACACCTCTACCTTTGTGTTTTTGATGCTGCATGTATGTGTGGACGGCACGCACGAGCGAATTGCCATGTTGTTTGACATCACACATATGCAGACAGCGCATGCGAGCGAATTGCTATGTTTTGTGATGCGTGAACATTTCTGGTGCTGGGCGAACTGGTGGTAAAATTATGTGAAACCCACCTTTGGTCACTACCTGGCTAGCTCACCTTTAGGTATTGGTACCACTTCACTAGAAGATGAGCAGGGTGCATTAGTTTTGAGGAATATCCCATCCACAGAAAATGGGTGGGAACTTAAGGAGAATTTCTGTTGCCATTGGATAAAGAGCTGCCGTTCTTCCAGTGATGTGGCCAGCATCCGACCAGACAGTTTCAATGTGTTATCAGAGCAGGTGAAAATCAGTTCTGTGGAAAGACAAGAAAGAGGGATAGTTAGTCAGGCTTGAAAGATCAGAATCGATGTAGTCCGTTCCCACCGAGAGGGTCTCCTCAGGGTGCCATCAGCCAAGTTATGTCGGCTGGCGACACCCAGGGGGAGGGCCTTCTCTGTGGGAGCCCCAACCCTGTGGAATGAACTGCCCCCGGAAATACGTAAGATCTCCGACCTCCGGGTGTTCCGCTGCGCACTGAAGACCCTGTTGTTCCGCCAGGCAGGGCTGTCAATATAATAATTTTAAATTGGGGTATTTTAATTTTTGGGGTTTTAAATCGGCCAAATCTATTTAATTATTTTAATTTTTAATTATTGTTGTGTCTTGTGTTTTTAAATTGGCTGTACACCGCCCTGAGTCCTTCGGGAGAAGGGTGGTATAGAAATAAAATTATTATTATTATTATTATTATTTCAGGACGTGGGGAAGATGAATGGTTAGAAAAGAAATATGGAGAAAAAATGATAGATAAATGAGGGAGATAATAGAAAGATAAACAATGGAGAGATTAAAAAAGAAATAGAAATCTAGATGATACCAGAGAAAATTGAAAAGGGGATGGTGGTGGAGAAAGAAGAGTATAAGAATAATTTACAATTATGATGATAATATTGATAGATAGAATAAATTTGAAAAGAAACTGGAAGAAAGTATATATGATTAGAATATAAGAACTGCTCGGATATCAAACAAGAAGAATATTACCTAACAAAGAAGATAGAAAGGAGAGGGGAGTAGAGGGTAGGAAGAGGAGAGGGAGTGAGAGGAAAGGAAGAAAGGGAAAAGGAGAGGAAGGAAGGACAGGGGACAGGAGTAGGAGAGGTCAGAAGGGGGAAAGAAAAGAGGAGTGGGGAAAAGGAAGGGGAAGTAGGGAGGGAAGAGAGGAGGAAGGAGAAAGTAGGAGAGGAGAGGAGGTTGGGAAGGGAAAGAAAGAAGAAGAAGGAGAAGGCTTGTTGTGAAAAGAGGGAAGAAAAGGTAGAAGAGCAACTCCGAATGTAATTAAAATGTCTTATTTTAATGCTTTCTTTAAGGAAAATATATACATATATGATTAATTATGTATAAGAAAATATACATTTTATATTATGTGTATAAAAAAAATAAAACTGAAAAAACTTTTCAAATATATATATATATATGAGCGCATAAACAGAGACCTTGGTGAAATTAAAAAAAAAAAGATCAGGCCCACATCTCACAGTCCAATTAAACTGATGTGGTGTGTGATGGCTCAGTGGTTAAAGATGCTGAGCTTGTCAGCTGGAAAGCTGATAGCCCGGGTTCGAAACCCAAGCACCACACGACAGAGTGAGTTCCCATTACTTGCCCCAGTTCCTGCCCACCTAGCAGTTCTAAAGCATGCAAATGCGAGTAGATAAATAGGTACCACTTCATGGGAAGGTAACAGCTTTCCATGCACCTTTGGCATGTAGCCATGCTGGCCACATGACCACCAAAGCATCTTCAGACAACGCTGTCTCCCTTGGCTAGGAAACAGAGATGACTACTGTGTCCTAGAACTGGACACCACTGGAGAGGGGGAAACCTTTACCTTGATTGCCAAATTGCTAGACAATTTTAAAATGGAATGAAAAACACCGGCAATACAGTTATTCCCCATAGAGAGAATAATTTCTCCTTTCTCATTAAAGATTACACAAGGTGATAATTTTGATAGGAGCTCTGGGCACACCACATTTTAGTCTGTTTAGGGAGACCAGTTTCTGCATCCCTGCTTAAAACCAAGGGAGGAATATTTGTGTCCTTTCAGAATCTGTTAGATAGAAGCTTCCACCATCCTGATCATTTGGCTTTTCTGGCAGGGAACGATGGGCACAGATATATATTAAAATCTGGGCCACCACAGATTCCCCATCTTAGCTTGAAAAGTTCAGAAACAGAGGTGCAGATTGAAAGCAATAACATCATTTCCATTGGCTGTGATTTTTCTGGCATGAATGTATTGTCCCTAGAGATATCAATCAAGAAGCAATATCGATCAATATGACACTATTTTTATAAAAGTTGTGTCGGACACAAACCTTGCAGAGCGCAGAGAGAGATAGCGCACAAACAGCTGTCTTCCATGGATCTCACTAGCATCTGCTGGAAGTCAGCTTGTAGCTGTGGATTTTGAAGCCAGAAGGAACAGTCTACCAAGAGAAGAGCAGCCATCTTAAGCACCTGATTCTGGTGCTACATACAACATTTGTATATAAAAACAAAGAACAATGTAAAAACCATACATTAAAAACGTATTTAAAAAAACAACCTTGGTGTAGTGATGAAAACATCAGGCTAGAGAATGGGAGATCATGAGTCCTAATCCTACTTTAGTCATGAAATTGGGCAACTCTGAGCCAGTCACTGTTCCTCAACTCCAAGAAGAAGGCAAGGGCAAATCAGCTCTGAAAAACGTTGCCAAGAAAACTGCAAGAACTAATGGTCCATACAGTCACTAGGAGTCAAACACTGATTTAAAGGCAAACAGGAAAAAAAAAAACCCACCCCACAGAAAACTAGTATGGGGTTTTGACATGATACCAATGATACCAAGACTCTATTTCTTGGTTGTGTCTGCAGCAGGTGATAGCATCATGCTTCCTTCTAGGAAAAGTACCAAGGTTTCAAGAATGACATGTGGCAATTCTTCCAAGCTGAGAATTGTTTTACTCCCATAGACAAAAAACTTGCAACACTGAGAATTCTACTATCTGCATTGACAATGTATTCTGGGTACTATTAGGGAGATGCTGTCTTCACTGCTGCCTCTTTCTCTCACACATGATATCTGGGCTGCTTCTTACTCCTCTGGAATGCACTCCCTCCCTTCTGGAAATCCAGCCTACATCCAGCTCCTCCCTACATTCATGTGTGGACTTCAACTCCCAGAATCCCTCAGCCACCATGTGTGGATTTCAACTCCCAGAATTCCTCAGTCGCTATGTGTGGACTTCAACTCCCAGAATCCCTCAGCCACCATGTGTGGATTTCAACTCCCAGAATTCCTCAGTCGCTATGTGTGGACTTCAACTCCCAGAATCCCTCAGCCATGTGTGGATTTCAACTCCCAGAATCCCTCAGTCGCCATGTGTGGACTTCAACTCTCAGAATTCCTCCATCACCATGTGTCAGGCCCCAAACCAGGAATAACATGTGGTGATTCTTCCAGGCTGAGGTCTTTATTGTTTCACACCTATAGACAACATCTTGCCAGACTGAAGACTATACTGTCTGCATCTACATCTGGGAAGTGTTGAGGAGAGGCTGTCTTCACCCTCTTTCTCTCACACAGGATATCTGGACTGCATTGCCTCTTACTCCACTGGACTGCAGCCCTCCCTCCTCAGGATTTGCCTCCTCACCACATTCCATCACACAAGGGATGGCCTCAGTCTTTCCAGTTGCACGCGAGACAAAAAATACCACTTACTAGGTATCCATAGGCACATTCCAAGATCCAAGGACAGAGATTCTTGAGGACAGCTGTTCTCCATGCCTGGGGTGGGGTTGGAGATGAGAAAGGTTTCCTTACAAAAAGGGCAGTAACTCAATGACCAGATTCTGCAAAAACACAAACACAAAACATTTGTACAAGGAAAACATTACACGTGGACCAAACATTTATAGGCAGATATCACAAGGATGGTTCTAGGAAACAATTTCAATAGATGCGATTAAGACACTGGGCTTGTAGACCGGAAGGTTGGCAGTTCGAGACCCAAGCACCATATGATGGAGTGACCCCGTATTCTGGCCCAGCTCCTGCCCACTTAGCAGTTCAAAAGCAGGCAAATGCGAGTAGATAAATAGGTACCACTTCAGTGGGACAATAATAGCATTCTGTGCACCTCAGAATATATACCATATTTTTCAGAGTATAAGACACACTCCCCGCCCCAAAAGAGGGTGAAAATTTGGGTGCATCTTATACATTGAATGAAGCCAAAAACACAAGGCACAGTGGAGTCGATGGTCTGTGGCAATTCCTGCAGCCTGGAACAGCTGATTGGGGGTATTCCGGGAAGCCCACCAATCAGCTGCTGGTGCTGAATCAGGCTGCAATAATGTGCTGAAGCTGACCTGGCTGTTCGCTATTTGCTGCAAGGACGTGTCAGAGTTTGCAGCAGCAATCACATCCAGAAAGCACCCACAAGTAACGGATTCAGCAGGATTCAGTAACTTCTCTTTATATATACACATGAAGTAAATATACAATACCAAAAGCAGGTTTTCCAACATGGTAGTAAATACAAGTAAAACACAAGCAGAGGAGAGGAGTTTCAGTTTCAGTTTTCGTTTCACAGATCAGCACCGCATGCAGCTTTAGTACAGAACAGTTGAGCTAAGCCATGCCCAGGCTCCTTGCTGTCTCCTTGTTGCTCACACAGCAAATACTGTTTCAGTTTCCAAACAGCCCTCAACTCTCTCACACACTGACAGGACGCTAGCCAGATTAATACCGATAGATGCTGGTAGGCAGAGACAGATTTTTTTTTTCTTATTTTCCTCCCCAAAAACTAAGGTGCGTCTTATACTCCGGAGCGTCTTATACTCCGAAAAATACGGTTGTTGTGCTGGCGACATGACCCTGGAAATTTCTTCAAACAACGCTGGTTCCCTTGGCTAGGAAATAAAGATGAGTACCACCTCTAGAGTTGGACACAACTGGATGGAGGTAACGTTTATCTTACCTTTACCTTTAATGGTATGTGAGAATGACCTTGGGAGAAGTAGTAAGAGCTGCAGACAATAGTTGCACAAGAGGCAACCGAGCCCACAGAAGAAATGTGGGTGTGGCAAAGTCTCAGAAGGGACCCTCCCTAGTTTTTACAGAAAGAAATGCAGAATAGGAGTAGAAGTAACAAAACTCTGTAAGAATACAAGATGCTCACCTTTCTCTTTTCCCAGATATAGAGGGTATTTGAGAGACCACCCCAGGGTTCCATGTCAAACTGTCTTCTAGTTTCTCAGCAATATTTAGAGTGCCATATGGAAGTCGTACTTTACGGCTGAAGAGGGCTACTGTTAGAGTCTCCTGCTTCGGGAATGGGTGATTCCAGAGAGTGGGTATCACCAACTGCTCTGGAAAGTAACAGGATAAAGTTTAATGAAGGACCAGCATTAAAAAAAAAAAAAGCAGTAAAGTATTTATTTAAGAAAATGTACATGATGACCTCCCAATTCACTCTAAGTGACTCCAGGTGGCTTATAAAGATTAAAACCTCATATATAAATAAATATATAAAATCTCATATAAAAACAATAAACAGTAATTGCTGTTTAGGAGAACGCAAGAGAATTGGTCCGACAATGCATTTCTGAACAGCTTCAAACAGAACTGATTTTAAAATTTTCCCCTGTCAACAAATCTGTGATTTTGCAGAAATATGTGAGAATGATAAAGATGAACGAATAGAATTTGTCTACACTGAATCCTAACAGATAGAAATGTGAAAATAAGTAATTTGACAATATTATAAAGTTTGATAACAATGTAAATTAAAATGAACATTTAAAATGCTAATTGTATAGAAAATAACAATGTTGAAATCATGAAAGTGATTTTTTTTTTTGCAAAGAAGAAGAAATAGAACATGTTTATGATAAGCCATAACAGATGGAAAGGTGAAAATAAGTAATTTAATCATATTATTAATTTTGATAACAATGCAAATTAAGATGAATTTTTTACGGTTAATGATTGGGAAAAAGGAATTAGAGAGACACTTCCGGAAATGAAGAAAAATTGTAAACAACTGGAGCAATTGTAATTGAGAAGAATGATAAGGCGTAAAGTGATGTTATTCTAATATAAAATTGAAAATGATAAAAAATAATGGGGGAAAAAATTAATATGGCAGAAATTGAAATAATAAGATATGGAGAAAAATGATAAATTTATGATAAAGGATTACACGAAAGATGAATATTGGAAAAAATGGAAAAATTAAGAAATATTATAATGATGATTTTGATTATGTATAAGATGTATGTATGACACTCTATTCATAAAATATGTATGATGAAAGAAATTTTTTTAAATAAAACTTGTCTAAAAAGAAAAAAAAACTAAATCTGTGATTTTGCTAACTTTTTATACATACTTGGTACTGGTTACTCACTTCTGTATTCAATCCATGTCCATTTTGCACCCATAATTATCATGTTTTCTCCCTCACGCACACTTTTCAAGTACCTGATTCTGCATTTAATAGACTTTTCACAATGTCCACTTCTTCAGTGGCATAGGATCTCCATTGTTAAACCTTTTCCACTAGCTACTCTTTTCCTTCTTTCAACTCAGTAAAATGTAAAGCTTTGATTTAACGGATCCCGGAAAAAAACCTGACAAAATCTGTACAACATCCTTCCATGAATAGATAAAACCCCACCCACGGTTTTACACATGGATAACATGCCCCAAATAAATAAAACACAACATGTTTTATGCACGACAAAAATATGCATGACAATTCCCATTCCAAAGCCCAAATACAGGTAGTCCTTGACTTATGACCGCAATTGAGCCCAAATTTTAGTTGCTAAGCGAGACAGGTGTTAAGCGAGTTTTTCTCCTTTTGTGACCTTTCTTGCCACTGTTGTTAAGTGAATCACTGTAGCTGTTAACTTAGCAAAATGGTTGTTAAATGAATCTGGCTTCTCCGTGGATTTTGCTGGTCAGGTCGCAAAAGGCAATCACTGCAACCGTCATAAATATGAATCAGTTGCCAAGAGTCCGAATTTTGATCACGTGACCATGGGGATGCTGCAATGGTCGTAAGTATGAAAACCAATCATAAGTCACTTATTTTCAGAGCCATAACTTCGTACAGTCACTAAATGAATGGTTCTAAGTCAAGGTCTACCTGGAAAGAGGCTTCTGGGAAGATACCTATGGAGATTCTCAGTCCTCCAGGTCATGGCTGTCCCAAAGGTGCTTCTTTTTCAAGAGGCAACTGGACTTTCTGGTTTTTCTTTGAAGACGTTTTGCTTCTCATCTAAGAAGCTTCTTCAACTCTGACTGGATGGTGGGGAATGGAAGGATTTTATACTCCTTGCAGACAGCTGGTTATCTGCATTCTTTTAGCGGGTCATTGAGGACACAGATAAACCTCCAAGTTCTTCAACGATCCTCTAAAATTTCTGGGCATTTATATCTCCGAGGACCTCTCATGGACGATGAATGCTAACATGCTTGTGAAGAAGGCACAGAAGAGGCTGTACTTCCTGAGAATGCTCAGGAAGATCAATCTATCTCAGCATCTACTTCTGTCCTACTATCGCAGCACCATTGAGAGTGTCCTGACATACGGCATTCTTGCATCGTACAAGAGCAGCTCTGTAGCAGACAGAAAAGCTCTACAGAGAATCATTAAAACTGCCCAGAATATCATCGGACTCCAGCTACCAGCCCTGGATGACATCTTCGCATCTCGCTGTTTGAGGAAGTTGCACAACATTCTCAGAGACTCTTCCCATCCTGCTCACAATCTTTTTGGAGTGTTGCCTTCTGGCAGAAGATACAGAACAATGAAAACTCGGACCATGTGTCTTCTGAATAGTTTTTATCCCAGAGCTATAATTGCACTCAACAATGAACTAAAGGGCCACCATCAGTGAGCTGTTGGACAGCATTACTTGGTCTGTTGTGTGGATGTTTGGGTGGTTTAGGGGTGGGGAATTGTGGTGGTGGGGTGTCTGGGGATTGTCATGTGTGTTGGGCTTGGTCTCTCGGTGTTATGTGAATTTCGCTGTATGGGTATAGTGCAGGGGTGGGTTCTAATTTTTTTTACTACCGGTTCTGTGGGCGTGGCTTATTTTGTGGGTGTGGCTTGGAGGTCATGTGACTAGGTGGGCGTGGCTAGCTGGTCAGAGTCATTTCTGGAAGGTCCTCGCACTTACGACCAGTCCTCGCACTTACAACCCGACTCATTTGTTTGCTTTTAACATTGATCAGCTGTAGGACAGCCCTTTGAAGCCCCGCGGCAAGAGTTTAAACAGTTTTTTTCCCTCTAGTCCTCAGCTGGGACTCAGGAGGCAGCAATAGATTGTGGGTGGGACCAAATAAAAGGTAAGAATAATGTGGGGGGGTGGGGGGGCGGGAGGGCGGGGGGGAGAACCGGTTCGGTGACGTCATATCGTCACCGCTACCGGCTCGGCCGAACCGGACCGAACCGGGAGAAACCCACCACTGGTATACTGTGTATATACGTACAATGACTATATATAAAAGGATGCAAATGACCAGCTGTCTGCAAGGAATACAAATCCTTCCATTCCCCACCATCCAGCCAGAGCTGAAGAAGCTTCTTGGATGAGAAAGCTGAAACGTCTTCAAAGAGAAACCAGAAAGTCCAGTTGCCTCTTGAAAAAAAGCACCTTTGAATCTTCTAGGAAGAGTTTATTAGGACCAGCAACATACCATGAGTCTGATCACTTTGGGACACTTGTCCTGGCATGACGACAAAAAGGCCTTCGCTTCCAAATTTGCCTTGCAGGTGGATGCTCTTGTAAGGCCGGTTATGGTTTCCGAAGAAATGCAAAGTGTATTTTTTCAAGCTGTCTCCGGGCTTCCCTTTCAGCTCGATGAACTTGTATAGAAGTGAGTCGTTGGCCAGGCCCACTTCGTTGATGACGGCCGAAGAATTGTGGATCCCCTGTCTGGTGAGATTCAAGTTGAAGGACACGCAAGAGTTTTCCCGAAGAGGCGTTATTTCAGTCACCTGGGAGATGGGCAGAAAATATATGAATCTGCAACGTTCATTTCTTTTAAAGTTCATTTTTACATTTCTAACAGCTTTCTCCCACCCACCCCCAACTAGCTACTCTGCTGTAGAGTTATTTTCGAAGCTTAGCCTTGGAGAAAAACATCCAAGGGCAGGGATTTATTTTATTCAATTATCCCCTGTTTCAAGGCCAGCCAACTCTTTGGAAACTCCGGAGAGTTTAGAGGTAAAATGAGAACAATTATTTATTTATTTATTTATTTATTTACTTACTTACTTACTTACTTACTTACTTACTTACTTACTTACTTATTTATTTATTTATTAATCAAATTTCTATACCACCCTACTTCCGAAGGACTCAGGGCGGTGAACAGCCAAGATAAAATACAGATAATACAAATATTAAAAGTCCCTTAAAATTATTAAATATTTTGGCCGAAACACAGATTAAAACACCCAATTTATAAGATCAAACGAATTAAAAAATTTAAAAGAGGAGAAAATATAGAATGTATTTAAAATAGAATAATATAGAAAAAGAAATTGTAACTAAGCAGAAGAACAAAACACCTCATTGTAAACCAAACATAACTATGAAAACTGTCAGATGTAAATGCCTTATTCTCCAATGTGTAAATAATGTATATATGGAACATCAGAGGTTAACTTATTCTTTGGACTTTAATGTATTCATAACTTACCACTCCCATTCCTAGCTCCACCCCTTGTATATATAAGGAGCCACCCTCACCATTCTCGTCGCTTCTACCTTGAATATTCAGTGAATATAGAATGCCTATCATAATTAAAAAGAAATATATTTAAAGCTCTAACTCCAATTATCTTTATTGAGTCTGATCCTGAAAATATTGCAACAAAAACCATGCCGTTCAAAGCCTGGGAGAACAAACAGGTTTTTATAGTTTCCTGAACATCATAAGAATGGGAGATGCATGAATAACATTGGGGAGGGTGGTCCGCAGAAAATTTATTTGCATTTTTTATACTGCACTAAATCAGGGGTCCTCAAACTACGGCCCCTGGGCTGTATACGTGCAATGAATGTTTGTGTTGCTGCAGAGAGTCTCCCCCTTCGGGGTCTTTTTGTGTAGGTCAGAGGGGGGCAGAAATTCCGACTTGGGGTCTGCTTCAGCCTCCTGGTGTGGGGCTTTGGGCAAAGGCTGGAGGGAAGTGCCGCTGGTGGCAAAGAGCCGGAGGACCTTGTTCCAGTGGGACTGCATCATGGCCTGGAACTGGCTGACCATCTCAGCCCGCTGAGCCTCCAGATGCTGGCACCTGGCCTTGCACTCCTGCAGGTCTTCCCTCTGCTTGGAAAGCCTATGCTCCTAGTCCTCAGTGAGGTGCTTCTGCTGAGCCTCCTTCTCGGTCAGATCCAATTTGAACTGAGTCAGCTGTTTTACCAACTCTTTCTCATGCTCCAGCAACTGCTTCCTATTGGGGCCCAAAGGAGCCCAGGTGGGCAGACGAGGATTGGCGAGTAGAGGCTGGCAAGGTGCCCCTCAATGTGAGTGGCCATCGAGTTGGCCACGCCCACCCAGTCACATGACCACCTTGCCACGCCCACCCAGCCATTCATTAGGCAGATCATATTAGTGGTCCGCGGGATTTAAAATTATGAATTTAGTGGTCCTTGGGGTCCGAAAGGTTGATGATCCCTGAGCCAGATGTTTCTGAGAATTTCACTAGTGCATAATAAGAATCCCCTTTAACCTAATTCTCGGGTTTGGTGACACATTATTTCTGAATGTCAGCACAATCAAAACATTAGTGGAATAAAACTCAAAGTCTAATTCAGCCCACATCCTGTTTCCTTCTGGAAAACCCCGTTAGGAGGATCTACCCTCAATAACCTCTAAGATCGTCCCACCGCCATCAGCTGTGGTTCAAGTTGATGAACGACTTGATTTTGCCCGAACGGTGATGAGCAAAATCACCGTTCGAGCGATTTCGAGCAAATCATCTTTTGCTTGAACGCAGAAGAGCGGGAGTTGGGAGGGTGGTCAGATATCATGTGGCTGCAGCTAACCTCTCCATGGGCTGCTCAATAAGGTTTTCAGCAGGGGTTGCTCCAACCTTGGCCACTTCAAGACTCCCAGAATTCCCCAGCCAGGCATGAAGTTGAAGTCCACAAATCTTAAAGTTGCCAAGTTTTGAGATCCCCAGTTTACATCATAGCAATAGCCCTTAAGACTTATATATCGCTTCATGGTTCTTTTACAGCCCTCTCTAAGCGATGTACAGAGTCAGCCTCTTGCCCCCAACAATCTGGGTCCTCATTTTACCCACCTCGGAAGGACGGAAGGCTGAGTCAACCTTGAGCCGATTAGGATCGAACTGCTGACAGTGGGCAGAGTTAGCCTGCAATACTGCATTCTAACTACTGCGCCACAAGGGCTCCTAATAGCAATAGCACTTAGACTTACATATTGCTTCACAGTGCTTTCCAGCCCTCTCTAAGCGGTTTACAGAGTCAGCCTCTTGCCCCCAACAATCTGGGTCCTCATTTTACCCACCTCGGAAGGATGGAAGGCTGAGTCAACCTTGAGACCTGGTGAGATTCGATCTGCCAAATTGCAGGCAGCCGGCAGTCAGCAGAAGTAGCCTGCAATACTGCACTCTAACCCAGGGGTGAAATCTGACAGGTTCTGGAGAACTGGTAGCGGAAATTTTGAGCAGTTCGGAGAACCGGTAGTGGAAATGTTGAGTAGTTCAGAGAACCCGCAAATACCACCTCTGGCTGGCCCCAGAGTGGGGTGGGAATGGAGATTTTGCAATATCCTTCCCCCAGGAGTAGGGAGGGAATGGGGATTTTGCAGTATCCTTCCCCTGGAGTGGGGTGGAAATGGGGATTTTGCAGTATCCTTCCCCTGGAGTGGGGTGGGAATGGGGATTTTGCAGTATCCTTCCCCCGCCATGCCCACCAAGCCACGTCCACAGAACCAGTAGTAAAAAAAATTGGATTTCACCACTGCTCTCACCACTGCTCCTCATAACACACATCATAACATATATCATTAGCTGAGTCAATTATGGTTGACTCACCCAACTACGCTAAAGCAAATTAGGGCTTGTTGCGTTAGATAAACGGTAACCAAGATAGAGTTAAAAAAAAAAAAGCAGAAATGGACTGTTGGCTGATCTCTGTGGCACCTCCTACTCAACACTTCAGCCATTTTACCTGGAAACTCTTAGGATCTCTGGGCTTCAGGCTGAGACATCGGCTGATGGACTCGTCTTCGGTGCTATGAGAGTCATTTTCATGGAGGACATGCTGCCCAGGAGTGAGAAGAGCCACGAGCTTGTCAGCTTTTTCTGCACCCCGGGCTCTGTACACTACAGCATCAACCAGCCCATCGACAGTCACCTGCATGTTGTTTTTATAGACAGGGTTGGCATTGTGGTAGAGCCCCACGGCGTCGACGCCATTTTGGATGGTAGTATCTGGCAAAAGAAGCGAGGGCTTGGGGGTGACTCCACCACTCCCTACAAGGAAGTAGCCCCGCTCGTTGGTTGAGTAGCCTGTCAGATTCAAGACCTTGTAAGCTAAGTTGTTCTTGCCGTTGTACAGAACGAGCCAGTAATTCTCGAGTGGAAACGGTGCTTGTCCTGGGTAGAACAGCTCAATGTATTCCGTGTCTTCCCGAGAGCCAGGATTGTCTGCGTTCACTTCGTTGATAAGCAACTCCAGGGCTGGAGTTGGAGATTCTCCGGTTGTCCGTGGTTCTTCTGAAGTTACATCTACAATGAACCAAATAGAATAGAATAGAATTCTTTATTGGCCAAGTGTGATTGGACACACAAGGAATTTATCTTTGGTGATAAGCTCTCAGTGTACATAAAAGAAAAGATATGTTCATCAAGAATCATAAGGTACAGCACTTAATGATAGTCATAGGGTACAAATAAGCAATCAAATCATACTAGGAAACGATCAATTTCAATATAAATCGTAAGGATACAAGCAACAAGGTTACAGTCATAAGTGGGAGGAGATGGGTGATAGGAACAATGAGAAGATTAATAGTAATAGTAATGCAGACTTAGTGAATAGTTTGACAGTGTTGAGGGAATTATTTGTTTAGCAGAGTGATGGCGTTCAGGAAAAAACTGTCCTTGTGTCTAGTTGTTCTGGTGTGCAGTGCTCTATAGCGTCTTTTTGAGGGTAGGAGTTGAAACAATTTATGTCCAGGATGCGAGGGGTCTGTAAATATTTTCACAGCCCTCTTGTCTCGTCACTTCAGACTGAACATACAAACATTTTATTCTAGGGTGAACACCTAATGTTTCTTTCCTGATCACTGAAGAGAAAAAGGGGGTTTACAAGTAGTCAGCATATGACCATTCATTTAGCAAGCATCCAAAGTTACGACGGCGCTGAAAAAAAGTGAATCACAACCAATCCTCACAATTATGACCGTTGCAGAATCCCTGCGGTCACATGATCAAAATTTGGGCACTTGGCAATCCAGTATATATTTGCGACAATTGCAGTGTCCCTTGGTCATGTGATCGCCATTCTGGCCAGAGGATGAAATTCACTTACCTTCCCTACCGGTTCGCAAATGTACTTGCACACGTCGTTGTCCATGCGTGAGCAAAGCCTTCTGCACATGCGCAGAGGCTTAAAATCATCGCAAAAAAGCAACATCATGACGTCCACACGGATAGGCAGAGCCTCCCGCAGCCGCTGCTACCGATTCGCCCGAACTGGATAGAACTGGCTGAATTTCACCCCTGATGCTGGCAGGGGAATTCTGGGAATTGAAGTCCACCCACTTTCAAGCTGCCAAAGGCTGAGAAACCCTAACTTATCTTAAGGCCTTGGTAGTACAGTGGTAGTACAGTGGTCTAAAGCACCCTGTTATTAAGACCAGCTGCCTGCAATTACTGCAGGTTCGAATCTCGCCAGGCTCAAGGTTGACTCAGCCTTCCATCCTTTCTAAGGTAGGTAAATTGAGGACCCAGTTTGTGGGGGCAATAAGCTGACTTTGTATAAATATACAAAAGTATGAAGGCTATTGCTTAGTGCATTGTAAGCCGCCCTGAGTCTCCGGAGAAGGGCGGCATAAAATCAAATTTAAAAAAAAAAGGCCAAGCAATTCTCGTGCCACCACAAAATGGTGAATGGTGAATGCTTGTGCTCTGGGGCCAGGGAAGGGGAGCTAAAAATCCCGGAATTTGCACTCCGTTGTGTTCTCCTCTCCATCGCACTACTGTACCTGGAGGTGTGTCTGTCCCATCTGCATTGCTTGAACAAGTCTTAATCATTATGCTGAGGTTTCCAAAATGAAACCGTTCTTCACTCTTCTCCAAGACTGAGAGGGCCTGTAACTCAAGGACCAGCTGCTCTGTTGACCGGGCACTCATGAGGGCGGTGAAAATCAATTCTCTGCCTTCACAGGTTAAAATGGGATCTGTCACGAGAGGAGCGAAATATCACTGTTGGTTCTCAATCTGTACAAATTTCTTTCCCAAATACTTTCAAAGTAAAATGTACCACATGGCTTACCTTTGAAATAGGCTGGGGAAAAACTGCAGTTGCATCGTTTCTCCAGGGACTGGGCCAAAACTCTCTGCATCGTGCTTTCGTCCTGAGGTTTTTGTTGGCAATCTTAAGGTACAAAAGACACAGAAGAAAGATAAACGGAAGAGACAGAGAAGATATAAGGTTTCTATCTCCCATTTGGTTTTGCTTAATGCATTTACAGCCTTCCCTCTCAGGTGCAAAGGATCAGGACCATACATTAAGTTGCAGTGAACAGAATGTGCATTAACAGAATCTTGCAAGTCTGAAAATTAGAATAGAGTAGAGAATAGAGAATAGAGAATATAACAGAACAGAACAGAACAGAATAGAATATGAAGTAAAGTAGAGTAGAGTAGAGTAGAATATGGAATAGAATAGAATAGAATAATAGAATAGAATAGAATAGAATAGAATAGAATAGAATAGAATAAGAATTGAATAGAACAGAATATGAAGTAGAGTAGAGTAGAGTAGAATATGGAATAGAATAGAATAGAATAGAATAGAATAGAATAGAATAGAATAGAATAGAATATGGAGTAGAGTAGAGTAGAGTAGAGTAGAATAGAATAGAATATGGAGTAGAGTAGAGTAGATAAGAATAGAACAGAACAGAACAGAACAGAACAGAACAGAACAGAATAGAATAAAATAGAATATGGAGTAGAGTAGAGTAGAATAGAATGTGGAGTAGAACAGAAGAGAACAACTTTCTTGTCACTTTGAATGTCACTTTGATTTCTATTCTAAATCTTCCACGGTCTCTTTTACAGCCTGAGAAACTAGGGAGGGTCCTTTCTGAACCCCTTGCCCCATCCCTTATCCAGCTGAGGGCTATGCTGTCTCTTTTCTAACTGTTTCCTTGGCAGCATCTTTTGGCTTCTTCCCCCCACCCTCACCCCCCGAGGCCTTTCCCACTAACTTATTACAGTAATTTGGTGCAATCCCATGCTTCAATTCACCAGTTCACCCCACTGTCCCCAGGTAGCGCTTACCTGTTACTTGAAAACAAAAGGAAACCTTTTGGCTAAAGCGCATCTTTGGGCAGTCGTTGAATTGCAAAGGTGTGGGCTTGGCGAGGGCGTAAGAGGAGGAATCACGGGAGACGGAGCAGCAGAGGCACCGGCTGACAGAGGCACCATCCGCTTGGGATCTGATGAAAATTATCAGAGGGGAAGAGAAAGGTCCATAATTAATCAAAGGGAAAGGCCGGAAGAGAATATGAGAAGCAGAGAAATGGCCAAAGCGATTTTAATACAGGTAGTCCTCGACTTACAACAGGTCATTTAGCGACCGTTTAAAGTTACAACAGCATTTTAAAAAGTGGCTCATGACCATTTTTCACACTTACGACAATTGTAGCATCACCATGGTCACATGACCAAAACTCAGAGGCTTGGCAAGAGATTCATATTTATGACGGTTGCAGTGTCCTTGGGTCAAATAATCCCCCAACAAGCCAAGTCCATGGGGAAGCCAAATTCACTTAACAACCATGTTCCTTACTTAAAAAATGCAGTGATTCACTTAACAACTGTGGCAAGGAAAGTCATAAAACAGAGCAAAATTCACTTAACCAAGGTCTCACTTAGCAAACAAGAAGTTTGGGCTCCATTGTGGTCGTACGTCGAGGACTACCTCTAGTTTATCTTCTGCAAAATGGGAGAGGGAGATGCTTTTCTAAATGGAATGTGCCAGGCCTCATGGCAGCTACAAGTAGTCCTTAAGTTACGACCGCAATCAAACCCAAAATTTCTGTTGTTAAGTGAGACATTTGTTAAGTGAGTTTTGCCCCATTTTACGAACTCCTTTGACTCATTTGTTAAGTGAGTCACTGCAGTTGATAAGTTCCGTAACCCGGTCGTTAAGCGAATCTGGCTTCTCCCTTGATTTTGCTTGTCGCAAAAGGGGATCGCGTGACCTTGGGGCACAGCAACTGTCATAAATAGGAACCAGCTGCCAAGCATTTGAATTCTGATCACCGTGGGGATGTTGCAAAGGTCATAACTTTGAAAAAACGGTCCCGTGTCAACATTTTTTCAGAGCCGCTGTAACTTTGAACGGTCACTAAATGAGCTGTCGCACGTCGAGCGCTACCTGTGCCTGTATTCTCGATCAGTCTGCTCCCTTCTCTACCCAAGAAATGGCTGAGAATCACCTTGTGGTTTTTAAGGGGAGGCATTGAGCCAATAGGTAAATCAGACTGTTGAGTAGATCAAATGTAGAAACTCCCTAGAGGTATTCCTGATTGTTGTTGCTTTGCCATAAATGCAGGGGTGGGCATCAGATCCTTTAGCAACAGGTTCGCTGCCCCCTTGCTGGGTGGGCGTGGCCATGGTGGGTGTGGCCTAGTTGGCCGCCTGCACCACAGCGGTGTGTGTGTATGTTTTTTGCCCTCCCCAGGCTCTGGAGGCTTTTCTCGAGCCTCTGAGAGGGCGAAAACTGCTTCCCTCGGGGTCTGGGGGCCCTCCAGAGGCCAGAAACAGGCCCTTTTTCGGACTCCTGGAACCTCTGGTAGGCCTGTTTTTCACCCTCCCAGATCCTCCGCGCGGCTCCTGCACTTACCTGGAATGATGAACGGGCCGCGTAGAGACTCCTGGGAAAGGTGGGGTCGGAGGGGCAGGGCAGGGTGGGCGTGGCCAGCCAGGGGTGGCATTTGGGAGTTCGCTGAACCCCAGCGATCCTTGGCTAGAAGATCGCCCGAATCCTGCCGAACCCCCAGGAGCCCACCCCTACATAAATGCATATTTCACCTCATTTTCTATCTAGACCTAAAATTTGGGAATCTGTTTTCGGCATGACCCAGGTTTTCTTCTGCCAAGGGTTCACAGGACATTTTGGCTTGCATCTCGCTTCCTTACTGTTTGCTCACGTAGAAGGGAGGCTTCCCAGGGGTCAAGATATCCAGCAGCTCCGAATCCATCTGTTCCACTGTTGTGTACACCAAGGCATCCAGAAGAGCTGGTGTCGACGTGACACTGGAGCCCACCACAAAGTTTCTGATGGTCCCGCCGTACAGGGCAACGGCGTTGGTGCCTGCTTTGAGAAGGGGAGTGCTGGAATTCTGGAGGGAAGTGAAGTTCTGAAAGTGAGCTGCGCCCCCTAAAAGAAAGAGAAAACTTTAATGTAGCATTTTTAAAGGAAGCCTGTATAGGTACAGGACAGGTAGTCCTCGACATACAACCACAATGGAGCCCGACATTTCTGTTGTTAAGCGAGACATTCATTAAGTGAGTTTTGCCCCATTTTACAACTTTTCTTGCCACAGTTGTTAAGGGAATCACAGCACTTGTTAGATACACAGTGTCACTCCATCTTCCCTGAGTCTTCACACCGCCCGGTTTCGAGTCAACGTTTGGGGCTCGGGACCCTAGATAGCACCCCATTATCCGGGGAGCTGGTCTGTTGTTTTAAAGCAGATTCAGGTTAATGTCAGGGTTTCAAGTAACACCCCCAACGAAAGAAAACTCCAAGGCTTGAGTTTCCTCAAAGTTCCATTTTATTAGAGATTTTATATTGGCACATCTGGGAAAACCCGAATCTGAAAGTTTCAAGGTTTTCCCCACCCAAAGGAAAGTCCAAGTCCCTGCCCAACACCCACAAGTCCATCACATGGTCTAATCAAAGCACCGTCCCAACTGGAGATGCCTTCCAGTCACACCCCTCCAGGTGCTGGGCAAGATGGCCTTGACTTCTTGAGAAAGGAATGTTATGATGACTATATATCACCCATGCTCCATAAAATCCCCCCTCCCAGTTTCCCACAGTAGTAAACATGGCAGGCCTGAAGGCCTAATGCAAAAGATGGCTTCCAGGCCTGACACACAGTTGTTAAATTAATCTGGCTTCCCCCATTGGCTCTGCTGGATGGAAGACCCCTAACCAGGTCGCAAAGGACAATCACATGACCCCGGGGCACTGTGACAGTTGTAACTGCAAGGACTGGTCGCAAATACATTTTTTAAGTAACTTTCAACGGTTGTGAGGTCAACCTGTATGCCCATCGCTGAGAATTCTGGGAGCTGAAGTTTATACTTCTAGAGAGCAGCCAGGTCAGGGAAGAAGTGCCTGATGGTTTCAAATGTGAGGTTTTTTTTCAAGAGGCCACTGGACTTTCTGGTTTTTCTTGGAAGACGTTTCGCTTTTCATCCAAGAAGCTTCTTCAGCTCTGACTGGATGGTGGGGAATGGAAGGATTTACACTCCTTGCAGAGAATGCAAATGTCCAGCTGTCTGTGAGGAATATAAATCAGTGGTGGGGTTGTCCCCGGTTCGCACCGGTTCTATAGAACCGGTAGCAAAACCGGCGGGAGGCTCCGCCCACTGACCCCGACGTCACCAAAACACTTCTGCGCATGCGGGTTGAAGTGTTGAAATGCATTTTATTCGAGACGACCACGAAACCTGACAGTAAGTAGAACCCACCCCTGGTATAAATCCTTCCACCCCCCAACATCCAGTCAGAGCTGAAGAAGCTTCTTGGATGGGAAGCGAAACGTCTTCCAAGAAAAACCAGAAAGTCCAGTTGCCTCTTGAGAAAAAACTCACCTTTGGGATAACCATGACCTGGATGACGGAGAATCTCCATGACAAATGCATGGCGTTACAATTCTCAGTGCACCAGACCAGCTTAAATACAGATTAACAGAGTTGGAAGGGACTTTGGAGGACATCTAGTCCAACCCCGCCCCCCCCCACCCAAGCGGAAGACCCTACACCCGTGATGGCGAACCTATGGCACACATGCCGGAAGTGGCACGCAGAGCCATTGCCCGTTGCTCTTCCGGGTTCCAACGCGCTGAAGGAACGTCTATCCAGCGCCAGGGTAAGAGACGCACCAGCTGGGAAGCGGGCTGCTCCCTTGGCAGAAGGGGCGGGAGGACTGTTCTTGGTGGAGGGCTGGGGGGGGGCACTTCATTGACACTCTTCCGGGTTCCAGCAGTGCCCCCCCCAGCCCGTTTTTGGTCCTGGGAGGCTTCAGGGAGGATTGCCAGGCCCAAAACGGGCAGCGGGGGGTGTGGCGCAGATGCGTAGTGGGAGCGGGGTCATGCACGCATGCGTGGAGGGGGCGGAGAGAGTGTGCAGGGGTCATGTGCACATGGGCGGGGTGCGGGGGGCATTGCATTATGGGTGTGGGCACGCCCGCGCCCGACTCCCCCCCACTTTTGCCACGCAATGGGAAAAGGGTTCACCCTCACTGCCCTTTTCTGAGGGATGTTAATCCAATCTCTTCTTGAAAGCTTCCAGTGATGAAGCTCCTACAAACCTCTGAAGGCAAACCTGATTAAGGGAAGGGATAATACTGTAATGTTATTGTCTGTGTGCAAATCTCACTCTCCGATTTGCTTGAATATATAACTTGCATCGTCCCTGGGCAGGCAAGAGTTTCAACAGATGAACTTGAGATTCAAGTACCCTTTCCAAGAGAGCAAATATCTTTTGGTAGGGTCAAATTTCTATTTGTGTACCTTTTTCATCCTAGGAGAAATGATTACAGCTTCTAAAAGGAGTGCTAGATTCTCGCAAGATGCTAAAATAAAGTTGCTTGCGTCTTTGCAGAGAGCAGGGAGTATTGTGCTTGTAAATTACAGCTTAGGTTCGCCTTAGCAACTATAATTTTATGCAGTAACACATCATTTATACAGTAACACATCATCCAAAGCAACCGAGGGTAGGATAAGAAGCAACGGGTGGAAACTAATCAAGGAGAGAAGCAACCTAGAACTAAGGAGAAATTTCCTGACAGAACAATTAATCAGTGGAACAACTTGCCACTAGAAATTGTGGTTGCTCCAACACTGGAAGATTTTAAGAAGAGGTTGGATAACCATTTGTCTGGAGTGGTGTAGGGTTTTCTGCCTAAGCAGAGGGTTGGACTAGAAGATCTCCAAGGTCCCTTCCAAGTCTGTCATTGTATTCCAGTGATGGCTAACCTTTTTGCCATCATGTGCCAAAAGGAGGGGGAGCACAGGGATCATGCGCGTGTGTGCCCGCACCCATAATTCAATGCACACACACCCCGTGCATGTGTGCACGACCCCCCCTGCGTGACCCCCACTTTTGGCACGTGATGGCACAGTGGGACCGGAAGTCCCGTTTTTCACCCTTCCCAGGCTCCAGAGCCTTCCTAGGAGCCTGGGGAGGGCGAAAATGGCCTTCCCCACTCCCCCCCCCGGAGGCCCTCCGGAGGCCGGAAACGGCCCGTTTGCGACTTCTGGAAGGCCCGAAAATCAGCTGGCTGGCATGAGCATCCCCGCCAGAGCTGACCTAGGGTAACGCTCGCGTGCCCACTGATATGGCTCCGTGTGCCACCTGTGGCATGCATGCCATACGTTCGCCATCCCAGTTCTATTCTATTTAACATGTCACGTGAACGCAGTTTCTGAAGTTTATGAGCCCGCTGCTCGGCGAAGCCAGACCTTCCTAAATGCAGGCAGTCCTCGACTTATAACCACAACTGAGCTCCAAACTTTCTGTTGCTGAGCGAGACATTTGTTAAGTGAGTCTTGCCCCATTTTACGACCTTTCTTGCCACATTTGTTAAGTGAATCCCTGCAGTTAGCAACATGGTTGTTAAGTGAATCTAGTTTCCCCACTGACTTTGCTCGTTAGAAGGTCACAAAAGGGAATCAGATGACCCTGGGACAGGGCAACCGTCATAAATATGAACCAGCTGCTAAGCGTCCGAATTCTGTGTCGTAAGTGTGAAAAATGGTCATAACTCCCTTTTTTCATCGCCATTATAAACTTTGAACAGTCACTAAACAAATGGTTGTAAATCAAGGATTACAGATAGTCCTCAATTTACAACCACTTTGGGGGGGGGCAGAATTTCCTAATGTGATATATGAGCTAGCCAACGGCTACTGATCATGGTGGCTATGTCAGAAACTGGACAAACCGATATATATAGAGAGAGAGACATATCTAGCCCTACCTGGAATTTTGGACAGTCCCGAACCCAACAGAAGTAACCCATCAGGAGAAGTTTCACCCTTGACCTCCATGACAGAGTAGATCTTTCGGGTGCTTCCTTCCATCAGCACCATCACCAGGTCCTTCACCTCCATGGAAGGGGGACCTTGGAGCTCCACAAACTCAGCGTCTCCAGGAGAGGATGCCAACTTCACCTCATTGATCAGCACAACAGAGGCATTCAACTGTGAGAAAGGGATGCAGTGGTTATCTGCCCCTGGGGTTGGTGCCCCCAGTTGGAAGAACCTCTGAGAATCCATCCCTTGGCACCTCTCCAGAGACTCATCATCCGTGGTCCGGAATGAAGGGTCCTCCAAGAAAGGTTCCGTGCCAGGGGTCAGGACACGAACCAATTCATCTGCTTTGTCCCTTTTGTTAGACTTATGAACCAAAGCATCCACTAGGCCTTTGTTGTCTACAGACATGCCTACGTACAAATCCGATCTCCCAAAATAGAGAGCAATTGCATCCGGTCCATTCTGGATCATGCCCTTCGAGAGGATTATAGCTGGCCTTGGGACAAGGTTGCCAGACCCAACCAGGAGAAAACCCTGATCATCTGTGGAAAAACCACCAAGATCCAAGACTTTGTAGGCCGTGTTTCCCTTCCCGTTGTAGAGGACTAAACGATATCCCTTCAAAGCAGCTCTTTGTCCGCTGACATGATAGAGTTCCAGATACTCCATGGTGTCGTCTCCTGGATTATCTGCATTGACCTCATTGATCAGGAGGCTCGGCTTCATCTTTTGGTCCTCGATGAGGTTCTGCGACTTCCCTTCACGTAACCAGAAGCACAGAAGGAGCACAGATGCACAGATCCAACCAGATTCCATGACTGCAGAGACGAGCTGTTCTCCAAGCAGCCTAAATAATCTGATCCAACTTTTCCAAGAGGTCTGGGTAAAACAGAAGAGAAAAATAGCTGGGAAAAACAGCAAACAGGATGCAAAGCGATAAAATTATTCCGCCATCCCAACGAACGATGATGAACGCACAACGATCCAGACACCTCAAATCCAAGCAAGAATGACAAGGAAGTGCAGCGCTCTTCTGCAGTTATATTTTCCCTTTGATAATCTTATCAACAAGATTAACAATTTCTTAACAAAAGAAATTAAAAAGCTGTACTTTCCCTGTAAATCATTGCCAACCTGGCCATAACCAGGATGAGCCAAAGCAATAGCCAATATACCCTTATCTTGGAAAAGAAGCGTACCTTGGAAACAAATATTGCATACCAATGAAGTATAATACGTATAGTCAAGGCTATGGTTTTCCCAGTTGCAATGGATGGCTGTGAAAGTTGGACCATAAGGAAGACTGAGCACCAAAGAATGGAGGCCTTTGAACTCTGGTGCTGGAGAAGACTCCCGCGAGTCCCTTGGACTGCAAGGCGATCCAACCGGTCAGTCCTAGAGGAGATCAACCCTGACTGCTCTTTAGAAGGCCAGATCCTGAAGAGGAAACTCAAATGCTTTGGCCACCTAATGAGAAGGAAGGACTCCCTGGAGAAGAGCCTAATGCTGGGAACGATGGAGGGCAAAAGAAGAAGAGGACAGCAGAGAACGAGGTGGCTGGATGGAGTCACTGAAGCAGTTGGCGTGAGCTTAAATGGACTCCAGAGGATGGTAGAGGACAGGAAGGCCTGGAGGAACGTTGTCCATGGGGTCGCAGTGGGTCGGACACAACTTCGCAACTAACAACAACAACAACAAAGTATAATATACGGTTTTCCTTTCCAACATTCTTGTTATTCCTCCTTCCAGAGAGAGAATTGCTGGTCCATGGCCAATGGAGAGGGAATAAAATTAGTTGAGAGAAGATTTGCTTAGCGGGAAAATATTTCTAAAAAATTGCATCTCTGAGAAATGCACCCACTAGGATTAGGTTAACCATGGTTTATTCAGTCCCTATTGCTTGGATTCTCACATAGGTAGTCCTTGATTTACAACTCCAATTGAGCCCAAAGTTCCCGTTGCTAAGCGAGACAATTGTGAATTAAGCCCCATTTTACGACCTTTCTGGCCACCGTTGTTAAGTGAATCGCTGCAGTTGTTAAGTCAGCCACACCGTTGTTAAGTGAACCCGGCTTCCCCATGGATTTTGCTTATTAGAAGGTCGCAAAAGGGGATCACATGACCCGGGACATTGCGACCGTCATACATATGAACCAGTTACCAAATATCTGAATTTTTATCACGTGACTATGGGGATGCTGCCCCGGTCATAACTGTGAAAAACGGTTGTAAGTTACTTTTTTCAGGGCCATTGAAACTTCGAACATTCACTAAATCAGAGGTCTTCAAACTTGGCAGCTTTAAGACTCATGGACTTCAACTCCCAGAATTCTCCAGCCAGCATAGCTATGCTGGCTGGAGAATTCTGGGAGTTGAAGTCCACGAGTCTTAAAGCTGCCAAGTTTGAAGACCTCTGCACTAAATGAATGATTGTAAGTCAAGGACGACCTGAATCGATGTCACTTGGAAAGTAATTTTACTCCCTTCTAAACATACCACTAAACTTAACCAAGTAATGTCCTTACAGCTGATTTGTATCATATCATTAATCTTATACTTTACGGGAACTATTTATAAACCTTATAAGGTTTATAAGGTTATCTTAGACTGTATTATGGGTCAATATTGTTATAACGCTGAAAGATTAATCCATGATTTTTTATTGCCTCAGGTTATCTGTTACATTTCCACTCACTTAACAAAGCACAATAAACTCAGTCAGTTTAGCTGGCCAAACAGACTTCCCTTCCACATTATGTCAAAATATTTACTTAACCATGGTTGGTTAGTAATAAGCCATAATTGGCGTGACCACATCTGCTAAGCCATACACTGCCATTCCCAAACCTAATTCAAGGAAAGAAGTAACTTAGACCAGTGTTGGGTTTCACAAATTTTTACTACCGGTTCTGTGGGTGTGGCTTGGTAGGCGTGGCATGGGTTGTTGGGCGTGGCTTGTTGGGTGTGGCAGGGGAAGGATACTGTAAAATCTCCATTCCCACCCCACTTCAGGGGAAGGATACTGTAAAATCTCCATTCCCTCCCCAATCCAGGGGAAGGTTACTGCAAAATTTCCTCCCGATCAGCTGGAACTCGAGAAGCAGGGGCCAGTCAAAATTTTTACTACCGGTTCTCCGAACTACTCAAAATTTCCACTACCGGTTCTCCAGAACTGGTCAGAACCTGCTGAAACCTCCAGAACTAGGTCAGAACCTCTGACCTAGACCCAAGGAGAAATTGATTAACAGTTAGAACGATTTAACAACTTGCCTCCAGAAGTTGTGGATGCTCCAACACTGGAAGTTTTTAAGTAGAGAATGGACAACCATTTGTCTGAAATGGTGTCGGGTTTCCTGCCTGAGTAAGGGGGTTGGACTAGAAGACCTCCAAGGACCCTTCCAACTTTGTTATTCTGTTAGATTGCCATAAAGAGCAGGGCAAGAAACAATGGATGGAAACTGATCAAGGAGAGAAGCAACCGGGAATAAAGGAGAAACTTCCTAACAGTGAGAACAATTAACCAGTGGAACAGAAGTTGCCTTCAGAAGTGGTGGGAGCTTCATCATTGGAAGTTTCTAATAGAGACAGGACAGTCACTTGTCTGAAATAGTAAAGGATCTCCTGCCTGAGCAGGGAGCTGGACTAAAAGACCTCCAAGGCAGTGGTGAAATCCACATTTTTTTACTACTGGTTCTGTGGGCATGGCTTGGTGGGCGTGGTGGGGCTTGGTGGGCGTGGCAGGAGAAGGATACTGCAAAATCTGCATTCCCATCCCACTCCAGGAGAAGGATACTGCAAAATCTCCATTCCCATCCCACTCCAGGGGAAGGATACTGCAAAATCCCCATTCCCTTCCCACTCTTGGGGGAAGAATACTGCAAAATGTACATTCCCACCCCACTACTGGGGGAAGGAAATTGCAAAATCTCCATTCCCTCCCCACTCCAGGGGAAGGATACTGCAAAATCTCCATTCCCTCCCTACTCCTGCGGGAAAGATATTGCAAAATCTCCATTCCCACCCCACTCTGGGGCCAGCCAGAGATGGTATTTGCCGGTTTACTCAAAATTTCTGCTACCGGTTCTCCGAACTGCTGAAAATTTCCGCTACAGGTTCTCCAGAACCTGTCAGAACCTGCTGCTCCAAGCGGTGTTATTCTATATTCTGTTATTCTATACTCTAATTCCACAACAACGACTTTTACAGTGAGGTATGGGATAAAATAACTGATGTTGTCGTTGCTGATGTTGAAACAGTTTTACTATTAGAAAATGAATGAGTTGCACACCAGAAAAACGTAGGTGAATTTCCTGCTCCTTTTTGTTTTTTTTTAAATCTACTATAGAAACTGTGGTTTATACCCAAAAGATTGTATCTTGTAGAGGCATCTCCCAGTTTGACCACAGCTTAGATAAGGTCATATCCTGTTAACTGGTGAGAATAGCTTTTGTTTATGTACAAAGGGGTCCCAGAGGAAAAACATGTTACAAAATGCAATTCTAGCAGCTTGTCGCATTAAAACCCGTTGCCGCTAAAACTTTCCACTAAAGTTTTCAGAAATCTTAACTGCTATAAAGCCTCCTTTTCTCCACTAAGTACACACTGCCGCTTCCTGGAATGTGTCCCTGGGTGTGATTTTTCTTAACAGCTTTGGTTTCTGTTTCCTTTGGGTGTTTACAAAATGAGAAAAGCATCTGAGCTATTAAGGAGGAAGTTTGCGTTTCAAGTTTTATTCTGCCTTGGATCACCTTTGTTTTGTCCACACTTTGCCCGGTCGAAAACTATCAGAAACAATACAGTATTTACCTACCTGTCAAGTTAATTGGACGGTGGGAAAGACCACAACATTAAAAACAAAAGCAGATCTTCCATAATACCAGAAATATGCTACCGCAATCACTGTAAGTCTTCATCTCCTGAAACAGCAAAGAACAGAAAGTCAAGAAGCACTACTGGGCAGAGATTACTTTGTGCCAACACAGAAGAGTGATTATCATATTGGTGAAAGTGTCAGCCTAGTGAGGGCTAACCTTTTCTGGACCGAATGCCCAAAGCGTGCCCAAACCCCCAAAATACAATGCACGTGCACTTCCCCGTGCCCCACCCCACCTCCCTGTGTCCCACCCTGCACGCCATCTGCCCCCCACGCATGCGAGGCGGAGACCCAAGGAGCAGCTGGCTGGTGGGAGGCACGCATGCATGCACTGTGGAGCTGAACTGGGGTGATGGCTCGCGTGCCATCAGGGAGGGTGCTGCGTGCCACCTCTGGCAAGTGTGCCATAGGTTCGCCATCATGGGCCTAGAAGATATAGTTCACATCTGCATTTGGTTGCCAACTTACCACTACTACAGTCTAGTCGAGTCGAGTACAGTACAGTACAGTAGAGAACAGTAGATAACAGTAGAGTAACAATGTATAATAGAACAGAACAGAATTCTTTATTGGCCAAGTGTGATTCACACACAAGAAATTGATCTCCAGTGCATAAGCTCTCAGTGCACATACAAGCAACAAAGTGATAGGTGATATAGCCATAGATCATAGTTACAATCATTAATCCTAATATAAAAACAAGTGATGAATCCTAGATACTAGTAGGAGAAGATAGTAGGAAAAATCAGAAGACGAGAACGATTAGAAGATGAGAAGGATAATAGCAATGTAGCCTAAAAGGTAAAGGTAAAGGTTCCCCTCGCACTTATGTGCTAGTCGTTCCTGACTCTAGGGGGCAGTGCTCATCTCCGTTTCAAAGCCGAAGAGCCAATGCTGTCCGAAGACGTCTCCGTGGTCGTGTGGCCGGCATGACTCAACGCCAAAGGCGCACAGAACGCTGTTCCCTTCCCACCAAAGATGGTCCCTATTTTTCTACTTGCATTTTTTACGTGCTTTCGAACTGCTAGGTTGGCAGAAGCTGGGACAAGTAACCAGAGCTCATTCCATTACGCAGCGCTAGGGATTTGAACCGCTGAACTGTCGACCTTTCAATCGACAAGCTCAGCGTCTTAGCCACTGGCTACATGGGTAAATATATTTAGGCCTAAAACAGTGCTGTAGGAATTAGGTGTTCAGGGGAATATATCTGCTTTTAATCTGTAGTTGGTTACCAACCTACTACCAATACAGTCTGCACGGCTGATCTTAACTAATCCTATAAATTAGGATAGGATAAGATAGGATAGGACAGGACAGCACAGCACAGCACAGCACAGAACAAGGTTACCAATATACCACTGTCTGCACCGCTGATCTTAACAAATCTTGCAAGACTGTTATACTGATCCTCTAGATAACATACCATAAGAAAGGCTGAGCGCCAAAGAATTAAAGCCTTTGAACTATGATGCCAGAGAAGACTCCTGCGAGTCCCTTTGACCGCAAGGCGATTCAACCGATCAGTCCTAGAGGAGATCAACCCTGACTGCTCTTTAGAAGGCCAGATCCTGAAGAGGAAACTCAAATACTTTGGCCACCTAATGAGAAGGAAGGACTCCCTGGAGAAGAATCTAATGCTGGGGACAATGGAGGGCAAAAGAAGAAGGGGACGGCAGAGAACGAGGTGGCTGGATGGAGACACTGAAGCAGTCGGCGTGAGCTTAAATGGACTCCAGAGGATGGTAGAGGACAGGGAGGCCTAGAGGAACGTCGTCCATGGGGTCGCAATGGGTAGGACATAACTTTGCAACTAACAACAACAACTTAGATAACATTGTGAGAGAAAGGAAAAAAAAAACTCAACACACTGAAATAGGATTGGTAACACGTTACTTGGGCTCACACAGCACTTGTGGGAAGCTTCCATTGTCTTCAACGAGCTATGAGTCAAGGCTCTGCCAGTCAACACGCAGCCGCTGTGTTTTATTAACTCAAGGCGAGGGTGAAGGTTGACAATTAACCCTGGTTGGCTTTCAGGATGGGTCGAACAAGCCTGATCCCTACGGTGAAGCTACGGTCGGGATTTTCCCTTGAAAGTTACCGTAAATCACTGTATTTTTAAACAGCTGAGTTCAAGCCAGAGCAAAGCAAAAGGAAGCACAGAATGTCCTGCTTTTTTAATTATCTTTTATAAATACGAAGATGTCTCATACTCCTTCTTCCTCCTATTTTCCCCACAACAACAACGTGAGGTGGGTTGGGATGAGAGAGGACTGGCCCAAAAGTCATCCAGCTGGCTTTCATGGCTAAGGTGGGACTAGAACTCCCAGTCCTGAATGTACGTATTTGAATTTATTTATTTATTGATTAGCCCTTGGGCCATATCAAAGTGCAGAGTTCCAGAAACAAATCATTACAAAAGTTTGGTAAAACAATTTAAATGAAATTGGAATAACACACGATTAAAAATGCAATTAGAATAAAATACAATCTAAAATGAAATCGGAATAAAATACAATCATTTGAGATACAATTTAAATATGATTAAAATTATATTATAATGTCACCCCTGCATCTACCCAATCAGTCTTAACTCCCAGTCTCCTGGTGATTGGGCCAAAGTCACCCATCTGGTTTTGCGCCTAAGGTGGAACTAAAACTCACAGTCTCCTGGTGATTGGCCCAAAGCCACCCAGCTGACTTTCATGGCTAAGGTGGGACTAGAACTCACAATCTCCTGGTGATTGGCCCAAAGTCACCCATCTGGTTTTGCGCCTAAGGTGGAACTAGAATTCACAGTCTTCTAGTGATTGGCCCAAAGTCACCTAACCAGTTTTTATGCCTAAGGTGGGACTAGAACTCACCATCTCCCGGTTTCTAGCCTGGTGCCTTAACCGCTGGACCAGACTGCCTTTCTTTGTATGGAGCACAACTAATACATAAATATAAATAAATAAAATAAAAATAATTAAGCAACCTGAACCAAAAAATAAAAAAAACAAAAATCTAAAGTTCACCTTTTCTTTAGTTCTTATATCAAGAGAAAAGCAACTGGGCCATTTCCACCCATCCTTGCCCAGCTAGACCAATTCTCGAATACAGCTCATCTGTCTGGAACCCACCCTGCATATCGGACATTAATACAATTGAGCGAGTCGAGAGATACTTCACGAGAAGAGTCCTCCACTCCTCTGCTGGCAAGAGAATCCCTTATGCCACCAGACTTGAAATTCTGGGCTTAGAAAACTTAGAACTACGCTGCCTTCGGTCTGAACTAAGCGTAAGTCATAAAATTACCTGCTACAACGTCCTACCTGTCAATGACTACTTCAGCTTCAACCGCAACAATACACGAGCACACAATAGGTACAAACTCAAGGTAAACTGCTCCAAACTCGATTGCAGAAAATACGACTTCAGCAACAGAGTGGTCAGTGCCTGGAACGCACTACCTGACTCTGTGGTTTCTTCCCCAAAAACTTTAACCTTGGACTGTCTACCGTTGACCTCACCCCATTCCTAAGAGGTCTGTAAGGGGCATGCATAAGCACATCAGAGTGCCTTTGGTCCCTGTCCTAATGTCCTCTTTATTTGTATTAATTTTATGTATTCAATTCATGCTTATAATTATATATATTGTTTAATACGTACTTGACAAATAAAATAAAGTAAAATAAAATAAAATAAAATAACAAACAAACAAACAAACAAACAAACTATGGTTTAAATCATCCCCCAGTGGACTGGGTTCGCCCAGCAACCAGAGTTGGCATTTCAGAAGCGAAAGCCCCAGCCGAGCTGGTGGGTGAAAAGAAAAAACATTTCAACATCTCCCCGTTTCTTCCCGGTTTTCCGCAGCTCAACCCAGCCCAGCCCCGCCGCTCGGCTTCCCTTCCCTTCTCCAGAAGTGGAGAGCTCAGCCAAGCCGAAGCCAGCCCAGGAGAGAGAGCGAGAGAGAGAGAGAGAGCTCACTTGGGGGTCCAAAGGGGAGATCGGCCCGCCGAGCCCAGCCCAGCCGCGCGCAGGACCGCGAGTGCAAAGGTTGGTCGGAGGAAGCTCTTTGGAAAGAGGAAACGTGCAAGGAAAAAAAAAGAAGGGAGAGAGAAAGGCCTTCCCTTCCCTTCCCTTCCTTTCTCCTTTCCTTTCCCTTCCCCTTTTCCCTCCTTTTCCCTTCCCTCTTCTCTTCCTTTCCTTTTCCCTTTTCCCTTCCCTTCATCCCTTCTTCCTTTCCTTCTGCTTCCTTCCTTCCTTCCTTCCTTCCTTCCTTCCTTCCTTCCTTCCTACCTACCTACCTACCTACCTACCTACCCATCTATTGTCTGTCTGTCTGTCTCTCCATCTATTATCTATCTATCTATCTATCTATCTATCTATCTATCTATCTATCTATCTTCTATCAATCTATCTTCTATATCTATCTATCTATCTATCTTCTATCAATCTGTGTTCTATGTTATCTTATCTATCTATCTATCTATCTATCTATCTATCTCTATCAATGTGTTCTATCTATGTTATCTTCAATATCTATCTATCTATCTTCTATCTTCTATCAATCTGTGTTCTATCTATGTTATCTTCTATATTTCTATCTATCTATCTATCTTCTATCAATCTGTGTTCTATGTTATCTTCGATCTATCTATCTATCTATCTATCTTCTATCATCTATCTATCTATGTTATCTATCTATCTATCTTCTATCTTCTATCAATCTGTGTTCTATCTATGTTATCTTCGATCTATCTATCTATCTATCTATCAATCTATCTATGTATCTATCTATCTATCTATCTATCTATCTATCTATCTATCAATCTATCTTCTATCTATGTTTCTATGTTATCTTCGATATTTCTTTCTTCTATCTATCTATCTATCTATCTATCTATCTATCTATCTATATCTATCTTATCATCATCTATCTATCTATCTATCTATCTTCTATCAATCTGTGTTCTATCTATCTAATCTTCGATCCATCCATCCATCCACCATCCATCCATCCATCCATCCATCCATCCTTTCCCCTTCCCTTCTTACCTTCTTGTTCGAAAGACCAAAAAGGAGAAAAGCGCGCCACCCACGAAAGAAGAACCGTCCGCAACCCTTCCGTTCCCGGGACAAGGAAGGGTTGTCGCAAGGCGCATCTCGCTCCGGGTTCCAATGCGCGCCCTGCCCACCTCCGCTCAGCTCATCCCACTCGCGGGCTGGCAGTTCCACGCCGAAGAGCTTCCGCGCCAAGCGGGGTCCGAGAAACGCTCCAGAGCTGCCAGCCTGCCTCCCTCGCAGCCCGCCCTCGGGGCTCTGAGGGTCTCCAGCTGCAAACGCCAAGAGCCCCGTGCAAACACGCGGATTCCTATTTAATGTACTTTATTGTCCGTTGATGGGGGCTGGAAATAGCAATAGGTGCCCATTAGGGGGCAGCAAAGAGCAGGCAGCCCCCTAGAGGTCATTGGGAGCTTTATACAGTAGTGGGCAAAATTGTGGAAACCTTTTGGGGAAAGTGTATTTTTGAGGTTTGATGGCTAATAACACCACTTTTTTGGGGGGGGGAATTTCAAGATAATCCTATTCCACTGCTGGAATGGCCTGGGAATAGCTCTGACCTTAACCCAGTTGAAAATCTATGGAGCCAAGTCCCAGAGGGGGGTTTGAGCAGGTTCTGACCAGTTCTGGGAGAACCGGTAGCGGAAATTTTGAGTAGTTCGGAGAAGCGGTAGTAAAAATTCTGACTGGCCCCGCCCCCGTCTATTCTCTGCCTCCCGAGTCCCAGCTGATCGGGAGGAAATGGGGATTTTGCAGCATCCTTCCCCTGGAGTGGGATGGGAATGGGGATTTTACAGTATCCTTCCCCTGCTATGCCCACCAAACCACACTCACCAAGCCATGCCACGTCCACCAAGCCACACCCACAGAACCCGCGGCCCGTTTTGGATGCAGGTAAGTGCAGGGCGCGCATGGAGGCTCAGGGAGGGCGAAAAATGGGCCTACTGGAAGTTCGGGAAGGCCAGAAATGGGCCCGTTTCCAGCCTCCAGATGGCCTCCGGAGCCTGGGGAGTCCATTTTCACCCTCCTGGAGGCTGGAGAAAAACCTCCGGAGCCTGGGGAGGGCAAAAACGCCCCCCCCCACCGTGGTGCAGGAGGCTGACTAGGCCACGCCCACCATGGACGCAACCACCCAGAAACCAGGCAGAGAACCCCTTGCTAAAATTTTTGAAGCCCACCCCTGGGGTTACCTCGCCATCTTTCGGAATGTGAAACCTTTCAAGGCCTTTGAATTGTTGCTGGAGAAGATAAATGTTTTGCAGTTTCTATGAAGCAATATTGCGGGTTTTTTTTTTTTTAATCAGGAAAATGATATTTTTGTACCGGAGAGGAACTTAGCACATTAGCAGAAATAGCTTTTCTTGACTTGGGGCATTCCAGATGTGAGTGCAGCTGCCAGGCAACTGCAGACTGTCATCCATCTTGGATGGAGGCATTAGTAGAGAATATATATCATGGGAATGGGTTGAGCTACAGTAAATCGATCAGGGGTGTATCCTGTACATAGAAAATAGAATAGGGCTGGAAGGAAACTTAGAGATCATCTAGTCCAGGGGTCTGCAACCTTAAACATTCAGAGAGCCATTTGGACACATTTCCCACAGAAAAGAAAACACCGGGAGCCACAAAACCCTTCCCGTGCCTGACTATTTCCTGAGCGGCCACAGAAGTAGCATATGTAATTGAATTAAACGTTCTGTTTTCTTCTAAAGCTTTTCTTTTCTTGGATTTATCCATGGTTGGCCTACCGGGGGTTGAAAAGCTCAATAAATTGTGTGCCGGCGTGTGTCACAAATTGGTGGCTCTGACGCATATTTTGAATGACAGAGAGCCGCAGCAGAGGGGTGAAAGAGCCACATGTGGCTCCAGAGCCGCAGGTTGCTGACCCCTGAGCTAGTCGAACCTCCTGCTCAACCCTCTACTATTCTGGACAAATGGCTGTCCAATCTCTGAATCGTCTCGGGATGTCAGCCATTCCATGTAAAGCTGCCTTTTGCAATTGACTGATGGGGATTTTGTCAATGGTGGGAGCTTCTGAATTCTTTGGCCACTGCCTGAAGCCACAGAGTTTGTAGGCTCTTGTTTCAGCTGCAGGGATTATCTGCCTTTTAGAGACGAAGCAAAATGCAAGTTTTTTTTTTTTTTAATTTGATTTATATGCCGCCCTTCTCTGAAGACTCAGGGCGGCTTACAATGTGCTCAGCAATAGCCTTCATCCTTTTGTATATTTATACAAAGTCAGCTTATTGCCCCCCACAAACTGGGTCCTCATTTCACCTACCTTAGAAAGGATGGAAGGCTGAGTCAACCTTGAGCCTGGTGAGATTCGAACCCTGCAGTAATTGCAGGCAGCTGGTCTTAATAAGCTTAATAACAGGGTGCCTTAAACCCCTGTACTACCAAGGCTCTTGTCCAGTGTTAGTCCAGCCGGAATTCTCCACCTGGAATGGAGAAGAGGGGATCACCCGCCTCTCTATCTCCAGCAGCAGGAGATAGAGAGGAGATAGAGGTGTCTTCTGCCACCTTTTCCCATGTCACCAATCAACTTTTCCTTCTGTGAACTTGGGAATTCTTTTTCTTTCTTTCTTTTTCTTTCTTCTTTCTTTCTTTCTCTTTTCTTTCTTTTTCTCTTTCCTTCCTTCCTTCCTTTCTCTCTCCCTTTTCTTTCTCCTTTCCTTTTTTCCCCACTTCTTTTCTTCATCTTCCTTCCCTTCCCTGCCCCACTCCTTCCTTCTTTCTTTCTCTTTTTTCCTTTCCTTTCTCCTTCCTTTCTTTTTCTTTCCTCTTCTTTTCTTCCTTCATCTTCTTTCCCTTCCCTGCCCCTCACTTTTACTTTCTTTCTTCTTTCTTTCTTTCTTTCTCTCTTTTTCTCTCACTCTCTCTTTCCTTTTTCCTTTCCTTTCCTTTCCTCTCTTCCCTTTTCTTCTTTCATCTTCTTTCCCTTCCCCTTTCTCCCTCCCTCCCTTTCCCTCTCCCTCTCCCTCTCCCTCTCTCCCTCACACATACACACACCACACAGCGGAAGGCCTCAAGAAGCTGGAGCAAAGAAGGCTGAGTCAGGCACTTTGCTTGGCATACCACTTTTAATCAGAGCAGCAAGGAAATGCTGCTAAACGGATTTTCAAGGAGCTGCTGGGGAGGGAGGGAGGGAAGGAGGGAAGGAGGGAGCAGAAAGACCAGCTGAGCTCCTGCAGAAACCCAGCACAGAAGCTTCAAAGAAGTGGGGGAGGGGAGGATGAAAGGGAAAAGTGACATCTCAAAGCCCTCACTGGGTTGCAATTGGGCATAAATCTTCCAACCGTTGCTGCCACCACCATCGCATTCTCCCCATTCCGATCTTTTTCCAAAACCCTTGTGAGAGGCAGAGGGAAGGATTTCTCTTGGGGGTGAGGGAAGCACCCCACCATGCAGGAGACACTGTTGGGGAGCTCAGGCGTTCCGTCTGCAGCTGTGGAAACAGAAGAGTGAGACAGTGGAACCCGCACTGCATATTGGAGATTAATACAATTGAGAGAGTCCAGAGATATTTCACAAGAAGAGTCCTCCACTCTTCTACTCACAACAGAATCCCTTATGCCACCAGGCTTGAAATTTTGGGCTTAGACAACTTAGAACTATGCTGCCTTCGGTCTGACCTAAGCATAGTACACAAAATTATCTGCTACAACGTCCTACCTTTCAATGACTACTTCAGCTTCAACCGCAACAATACACGAGCACACAATAGATACAAACTCAAGGTAAACCGCTCCAAACTCGATTGCAGAAAATACGACTTCAGCAACAGAGTGGTCAACGCCTGGAATGCACCACCTGACTCTCTAGTTTCTTCCCCAAACCCCCAAAACTTTAACCTTAAACTGTCTTCTGTTGACCTCACCCCATTCCTAAGAGGTCTGTAAGGGGCGTGCATAAGCACATCAGAGTGCCTACCGTCCCTATCCTACTGTCCCCATTTATTCGTATCCTTATCCTGTATTCATAATCATGTTGATACTTATATCTGTTATCTAATACGTGCTTGACAAATAAAAAAATAAATAAAATAAAAAATAAATAAAATAAAAATAAAGAGGGAATTGAAGGAGGCCTTGAAGGAGCGGTGAGCTCTCACCAACTTAGAAAAACTCCAGAAAAGCTGAACAGTTGTGTCAAAAATACTTTTTTTGCAGAGGGTGGGAAGGGGAAGACAGAAAAATCCCCCTTTAAGGGGAAAAAAAAACCCAGGAAGTCTTTTTTTCTATTAAGGAAGTAGGCGTCAAAGTCTACTGTTCCAGCTGGGAGAGGAAAAAGCGGAATAATCTTTGGAGATTGAATGAATGGGAAGTGATAAAACGTCAGGCTTGTGAGAATGGCCACTGGGGGATTTAACAGAATAACAAGAGTTGGAAGGGATCTTGGAGGTCTTCAAGTCCAACCCCCTGCTCAGGCAGGAAACCCTATACCCTTCCAGACAAAATGGTTGTACAATCTCTTCTTAAAAATTTACAGAGTTGGAGAGCTCACAACTTCTGAAGGCAAGTCATTCCACTCGTTCTAACTGTCAGGGAAGTTTCTCCTTAGTTCTAAATTGCTTCTCTCCTTGATTAGTTTCCACCCATTGCTTCTTGCCCTGCCCACAGGTGCTTTGGAGAATAGCTTGACTCCCTCTTCTTTGGGGCAGCCCCTGAGATATTGGAAGACTGCTATCATGTCTCCCCTGGTCCTTCTTTTCATTAAACTAGACATACCCAGTTCCAGCAACCGTTCTTCATATGTTTTAGCAACCCCAGTCCCCTAATCATCTTTGTCGCTCTTCTCTGCACTCTTTCTAGAGTCTCAACATCATTTTTATCTCGGGTTTTTTTTAAAAAATGTACTGGTCATCCACACCTTTCAACTGCTCGGTGCAAAGTTACAACAGCACTGAAAAAAAAAGTGTCTTACCACCCAGTCCTCACTGTTGTGGCACCCCATGGCCTCGTGATCAAAATCTGAGGATTTAGTAACCAGCATGAATTTATGACAACTGCAGTGTCCAAGATCAAAGGAATTTGTGGCCTTCCCAGACAGTTTTCCATAAGAAAACTCAATGGGGAAGCCAGATTTCACTTATCTGCAGTAATTTACTTAATGATTATGGCACAAAAAAAAAAAGTCATAAAAATTGGCCACAACTTAACAGTCACCTTGCTTAGCAATGGAAACTCTCAACAAGATGATGAGGGGACTGGAGACTAAAACGTACGATGAACAGTTGCAGGAACTGGGCAGGGCTAGTCTAGTGAAGAG